CCTAGTCCGACACCGAGTTTTATTTTATTTTATATAGTTTTTGGCATTTTCATGTGCCCACTTTTCCTTCGTTTTTCCAAGGGGGCAGGGACCCTGCGTGAGTTGGTACAGTTTTCGCCGCGTATATATGTATATGTACATATAGCGCGAATACCGAATGCCGAGCATAAAAACTTATTTACCTAGGGACACCCGGGAACAGAGCCGGATTCCGATTCCGGGGCGATTCAGTGGCGTCAGGCGCCCGGGGTGTCAACCAATTTCGAGTGTTTTCCCCGGGTCCTGGCCCCGAAAAACAACAAAAGCAAAAATCTCTCAACGCTCCTGGCCAAACACACACCGTGTTGCCAATTGTTGTTCCTGTTTTTCTGGGCATACACTCTCGTACATATATTTTCACATTGCCATTTTCATTTCAATTCATTTCATTTATTTATGCAATATTTTATGTGCTCATTCATTTTTTGCCCGTTTTGGTTGTCGTCGGTGCCCGTTTGTTCTATTAATTTGTTGTCGCTCCATTCAGAATTCCCCCTTACCATACCATACCATACCATACCATGCCATACCGCATAGCATACCGTCCTTTCCTGGTCGGTTCCACTTTGGCCCGGTTATTTGCCATCCGCCACGGTTCGGTTCCATTGTCAATTTCGTGGATACACGTCGTCTATATGTATCTAGTATTGTATGCGCATAAAATTCGTGCCATAAACCTCATTCGTCTTAATTTGTATGCCTTGTTTTGTTACGGTTACGACGGTTAGGTTCTGTGTTTTGTTGATACTTATTTATTATTTTTATGCCCCGCTCACTTATCTTTGCGTGTCTAGCCTCCTTGGGCCCCTTGCCGAATCATTTTGGGGAGTGTAGAGAGCTGCAAACCATAAAACTAAACCTCTTGCGTTAAAGCCAAATTTGACAGAACTGCAAGCAATAAATTCTCGTAGCCACATCGAATAATCATCATCAGCAGAAGCAGAAACTGAAGAATATACTGAATAGGAATTAGAATCTGATTAGAAGCAAGCTAACCAAACGCAACCAAACCAAACTCAACTCAACGTAAACGAGACAGTTTGTAGAAATGTGAATATGAACAATGACAATAACACACAACGCTGTAAATAAAGGTCCAAATTCCATATATTCTCTTGTACAGATATTTAATTGTGTTTGTTTGTTGGTACATACATACTTACATACATATTTACTACTGATTGATTTGATTTTGAGTTTACTTTTGAGATACTGTTCGTTGTCACCAATTGAGACGCTTTGATTTTGTTTTTTGAATATTATATATAACTCTTTGTATTTGTACATGATTATGATTATTAATGTTTATATTAATCCACTGCTAACAAAAAATCATCATCAACTTTGTACAGTAAAACCATGAGCGAGCGAACCTAAAACTAAAACTAAAACCAAAAACCAAAAAAAAAAAATATAAGATAAACCCAAATCTGGAGCTTCGGCTTGAGACGAAGCTGAAAGTAGGATTTCCAAGATTGGTAGCGGTGCATGAAGAGATGTACATAAATACACACTTGTAATATATTCCCCATACCTCTAAGTTTACCATTGTTTCCTCACTTAAAACTTCAAATTTGATTGTGATCCGAGCGAACGGTTTGTAAATCTCCTTATTATGGTTAATAATGTTTTCGAAATAATACTTTGCCTTGTTTTTCCTAATCAGATCAAGTCTGCCAAGCTCTTGGAAATCGTACAACCCAAACGCCCATTCCATTTCAAAAAAGAATGCCTTTCAAATTTCGTTTAACGGTTTGTTAAGTTTCCTTCAGTTGTCCGATCCCCAAAAAAAATGCACCCAACCGCACCCGAAATCCCCACCACAATCCCTCACAACTCCCGCTTTTGATTTCTGTTCTCGCTTTATTAAAATAAAAAAAAAAGGATTTAAAAGAGGAAAATTCATTTGTTTCCATAGAGCCTACGAAAGCGAATTCGAGACACATCTGTATAGAAAGCCATGCGCTCATTACTTTTACCTACTCTCTGTCATACTTTGTTTTCTAATTCAATTTCGTGGATGTCAAAAACAAGAAAGGATTTCAGCTAAATTTTGTGCTCCTTTGCACATGCCTAAGAGAAATGAAAAAAAGAAAAACGAACCACAAGCAAAAATGAAAGAAATGTGATATATATTTAGCCACGAATATATATCGAGTACATCTTTGTATATGATGATGAAATGTTGGGATGGGCTGCCCGGTGACCGCTAGTATAATTGTCTCATTTATCAATTACTTATTGTACTTTCTTCTTACTACATTCTACCTAACCTAACAACCTACTACTACTTTACCTTACTACTACCCTACTACTATTCGTACTACTATTTGCTCTATGGGTTCACCATTCTGTGTTGTTCTTTCCTTTTCTGTGTGTCCGTGTTTGTGTCCCTTTGAGTTTGATTCCATCCTCTTTTTCTCAGTCTTAGTTTTTTTTCGGTTCATTTTGGTTTCTTCAGTTGCTTTGTCGTTGTTTAATTAGTTTCTATTCAGTTCCCGGTTCTCCCTACGTTCTGTACATACATGTGTGTAATTTAATTAATGTAATTTTAACATGAAACTCAACAATTTCTGCTCTCGGTTACTCATAAGTTACGATTGTGTCGTTTGTTCGTTCGTTAGTTCGTTCGTTGGTTGGTTCAATCCTTTGTTCCTCCTTCTTTCTAGCTGTGTGTGTCTCTCATTTATCATTGTTGTTCGTTGTGCGTGTGCGTTAGAATGTTTTTGGGCCACAACTACTCTACTACTACTGTAATTTAGCCCGGCTATCTAATATAACTCTGCGCTTAACGGTCTCAGTCCGACCGCAAAAAACAAAAAGAAAAAAACAAGCAAAAAATCGTAAAGAGAATACCGAAAACCAACTGCAAAAGTATTATAATTTATTTTCCATTTTTTTTCCCTTACGTTTTTTCTCCATGTCTGTGATGTCGTTTTTTGCCTTGTCATGATATACTCCCATATATATGCTACAAACGCTTCTCCGTAGTATTTGACCATTACACGCACACATACTCACACACTCCAACTAAAAAATAAATATGAAAAAAACATCCGACACCCACACACATGACACACGACACTCGTACACCCATACACCCATACACACACATCCAGACACTGCCACGCCCACCCTACACCTTTCTGTTGTGCCTTGTATAACTCATAAAGTGTAGTTGCTACTTAATTACAATCATTACTCAAAAACGCCACAAGGCCGGTCCCGAAAGCCATGAAACCCTGAAAACCCTGAAAACCCCGAAACCCAACACCCCAAATACAATACAGTCGATTACACCCGTGTGTATCCTGCATATCCTGGCTTTTTACACCACACAACATAATTGGTATTTTTCCCATAATTTCTTACCTCTTTTTGCGACTCTGCGTGTGCCTGTTTTTAAGTTCCTTGCCGTAGCCTGTGTATTGCTAACGAAAACAAACTGAAAACAATTCAATTTGTTGAGAAAGAAAATTTAAACAAAAACCAAATAATACGAAACCGTTTGTTGTGTGCCTTTTTTAGCTGTAACCATTTTGTACTGTTGAGAACAATGCCTGAATGTGTTTTATGTATATATTATGCCCATATCCGTATCTGTTGGTGTATACTAATTATACGATACGGATTTTAGTTACAATTAACTTTTATACCAACTCTACAACTCTTACCAGTAAAAAAGAAACGAAAAAAGAGAGGACCCTTTACCAAAAGAACATATATAAGTATTATATATGTCACATATACAACTCTCGCGTTTGCCATAAAAAAAAATACAACCAGAAACCACCGATTACCCAATTTATTCATCATGAGTAAATGTTTGTTATTATTTTTTAGTTGATTCAAATGTTATGCTTGCTCTAGCAACAAATACCTTATATACCAGGCCCTACCAGGCACTAACATTATTTTACAACCTTAAACCGCCTCTGTTTCTCCGCCCATTTCCTTCCCATTTCCCCCGAAATAAAACCCCCAAATCCCAATCCCAATCCCAATCCCAATCCAGATCCCGTGCTTTTGGTTTCAGAACCGGAAGAACAAGATGAACCAAGTGTGTGTTTTTGCTTTTCGGTTATTTTTTTGAACGTGTCGTGCCTTTCAGTTGAGTTTACAACACAGAAGTTGGGCAGTGCATTTCCACAGCCCAAGGAAGCGCCGCTGAAAATGAAAAACTCTTGTCTTTAAGTTATTTCTGTGAACGTCATAAGTCTTTGGTTTGTTGTTCCTTACCGCCTTTGGTTTGTTTGCTTTACCGTTTTTTTTTTCTTGTATTTCGTTTGGTTCTGTTTCTGGAACTTACATACTTATCTTACTTATGTATTGTACTTACCGCTGCTTTTTACACATTTCCACAGAAATTGTTGTTGTTTCTCCACTCTGTGCCGCACTTGAAGCTCGAAACTGGGGGCAACTTGCCTTTTGTCTTTTGCCTTTCAGCACGCAACGCTCGACTTGCGACATTTTTGCTGATTTAAAGCTCCATTTCGTCATTTATTTGCGCAATTTTCTCCCGGACCATCAGCATCAGCGGCCACTTAATTAAACAAATTTCTGTGCAATTTAAATGGCATGCTTGGCGATGGCCCTGGGTCGGATGAGAAATCCCAGCAGCGGCGCAGCTTCCAGTGCGGCACTCAACGAAAGTTGAACAAGAAATTATATATATAAAAGATATTTTTCACATCCCTATAGCCCTTTGTAGATTTGATTTCCTTTCAACCAAGCCCTTACATTAATGTTTTGCTCTTACTTAGTACTACTACTTTAACCCACTCTGCTCTCCCACTAAAACTAACTACTTTCTACTACTAATACTGCTACTACCACCACCACTACTACTACTACTACTCTTTTTTCCTACTTCTATGTGTTCTGTGTTCAACGACCACCTAATTTGCGATTTGCATTAATTGAATTTTTATTTGTGCTTTTAAAATAATCATGTCCCCCAGACTTTTGCAAGGGCCGTGAGACTTTACAGAATCTCTGCGACCAGATACCGGGCGATGCCCTGCTCTACTCGCTGTTCCGGGAGAGTGCCGAGCCGGTCAAGTGTCCGCTCAAGGGTGAGTAGTAGCACTGGCCACTGGGGACCCTCTTAAGAGTTGAAATCTACATCTACATCCTCCCATTTCGCTTACAGGACCCTTCATCTTTACGTACAATCGAGGCCACGGGGAGTGCAAGTCGCCGGTGTCCAACATTGAGAGCTGCACGGAGGAGAGTCGCCTCCTGTTGAGCTTCCAGGCCTGTCCCGATGTCCAGGGCACTGAGAGTACGGGTAAGTCTCGCCTTTGCCGGGTGACAATGACTCATCGCCTTGCCGTTGCTCAAGACGAACATCCTTCCTTCCTTCCTTGCTTTTCTTTTCGGTGGTGCTGCTCCTTTTTCCCGCTGCAGTGGAGGAGCTGACTTGCCTGGCAACCTGGAAGGACGGCAACTCACGCTATTTGGTCGGCCTCGTCTCGCACCACCATGCCATTTCGAACGAGGAGCGCTATCGCTGCTTTGTCTACGAGAAAATCTCCTCGCTGATGGGTAAGCAGAATCAGCCAGGCCAAGTCAAAGGCACCCAGCCCCCGGGCAAACAGGATGAACTTTTGTTTGGGCCCTAATACCCGTACATTCGTACCCTTTGCAGGCGGCCCCAGCATGCTCAGCTCGAAGGATGCCGAATATAAGCTGGCCCAATCCGGCGACGCCACTTGCAATGGCTTAGACAGTGCCGAGGTAAGCATTTTCGAAGGCCCAGCCTTGGGTTAACTCCCACTCCCACTCCTGACTCCTAACTCCCAGTTCCATTTCCCCACCCCGTTAACGTATCATTTTCACTTAGCTGCACTCAGAAAAAATGTTTTACTTGGTTATAGACTATATAGATCATTATAAAAAATGTATTTTATATATATAATAAGCTTGAATGATTGATAATAACTTAAATCAATAATTTATTTGGCTTAAAGAAAACTTCTTAAATGTAAAACAGAAATTTTAAGAAATTATTTTACTTTCTGGAAGAAAAAACACATCATTTTGTAATGCATTTGAATACAATTTTGTAGCCTCTAAAACCGATATATAACTAATTTTTAAAGTATTTCCTTATATGTATAATAACTTTAAGATTAAATATTACTGTTGATAGGGAATTTACTCAAAAGTCAAATTTTTTATTCCGAGTGCCGAGTGATGGCCACGCCCAACAACTGCTAATCCAACTAACTTCCGCCCACAGGTTGGCTCACGTATCATGTCGCTGCGAAAGCCGCCCATCGCCGAGCGCTGCGACTTCCCGGCCTGGTTCAAGGGTCCGCGCCACTGGCATGCCCTCATGGGCAATGCCGTCTACAATTATCATTCCAAGTGAGTAGCAATCAGGCCTGCGGCCAAGTTGTCATCCAAAACCGAAAACCCGAAACCGAACCTCTACCTTTTCCCAATTTGCAGTGACGGGTCCGTGCACATTATTAAGCCCAACGGCTATATGGAGACACGTGCGCTCTGTGAGCAAATAAATAAACAGACCCCGACCGAAATGATGGCCGTGGTGCACTACACCACCGGGTGGTAAGTGGCCCCAAATTGAAAATGCCCCTCCCTTCCTCTGATTTCACCTTTCCCTCCTCCTTACCTTGCCGCCCGCAGCCAATCGGGATTCATGTGCATGATGTTCTACCGCCGGGACACGTTCGTCATCGAGATACAGACGGGCAAGCCGGCGATTCGCCTGGAGGATGCCTGTGCACCGGATCACTTTGACATCAATAAGATGGCCTACATTACCTTGCTGGGTAAGCACTGCACAGCTGCCTCTCTTCTGGGGAGTCTCTTTTCGGAAACGTCAAACGTTTGTTTATCTCGCCTTTCAGCAAGCAATCCCGACCTGGCCATTTGTCCCATGGAGGGCATCTACACGCTACGTGGCGCCATCGGACCGCCGTATCTGGCCACGCGCCACAAGCGCAATCACAATGGGAAGTCGCATCTGGGCCACGGACATCATCACCACGAGGGCGCTGACTCGGGAAATTTCGGACATAAAGGGTATGTCCGCTTCATGGCCGCCACCTCTGGCATTTCTCAATCTATTTCCATGGTTACCCACAGACACAGTTCGCTGAGTTTTCGCAATGCCGAGCGCATGGAGCGTGGCTCCTGGCATGCCAATACCCGAGGTCTCCCGGTTCGCAGTCGACGCAATGCGCCCAAGGATCCCCAGGTCCAGGAGCAGGTGCAGGAGCAGGAGCAGGCCTTGGTCCTGGAAAAGGTCAACAGCAGCGATACTAGCGTGGGATTTGTGGCCACGCGGAATCGACGCGATGTCCCCGGCTGTGTGCCCAACTACAATGCCCAAAGGCAACTCTGGGTGGGCTGTACGGCGGAGAACATGATAGACGTCAGTCCGCTGTGCAGCGTGGATGGTGAGGAGGGTAAGTAGATGTCAACTAATAACGAGGGCAATTTATATCCACACTGTTTTATACGCCTGAAGGTACTATGCCTTAACTGCCAGTTAGATACCTTAAAATTATGTTTCAACTTGAAGATTTCTGTTATTTTATTGTTTTTTTTTTGGTATGAAAACTCTAAGAAATAGCAAACCTCTCAAAAGCTCTTAGAAAAAACCGAATAACCTTTATAAAACATTTTTAAAATTTGCTATGCTTTTTGGGTTTTTAAAAGTTAGAAGCTAGAAACGGATACCTAAAACTTTTTTAAATCTAATGCCAATTATCCTTTAAAATATTGTCAGCCCTTTTAAAAATATATTTCTTTTTCTCTAAGGATTTTTCAAATCAAAAATTCGATTACCCATCTAATTAGAATTTTTTTAAACTGATAAGCTACTTTGATACTATAATAGTACGGCTATTAAAATGCACCCCTTCTGCTTATTTGCAGAGTACTCCTGTCACGGATCCTGGAGCGAGAACAGCACCTTCTACATCATAGCTCGGCACAAGGGCAGCAAGCACGGAGTCTGTCTGACCTATCGACCCACGGAGGGCACCGCCGCCAAGCTGGTTGTGGGCGATGCCTGCTATCGGGGCACCCAGAAGCCACCCGATCATCATCTAGAGGCCAATCTGTCAGTTTTGGGTGAGTACTATCGCTAGTTTCTCTTTAATTACCGAAAATTGAACGCTTCATTTATTCAACCGCAGGTAAATGTGGCGAGACTGGTGCCAGTGGCGCGAGGATTCCCCTGGCCAACTGGCTGCTCCTGGTGGCGATGGCGTCATGGCTTCACCTGCGCAGCTGAGGGACAAGTGGCAGCTACAGCAACTAGAAACAACTTGAGATAGGCCGCTAAGCGTGACAAGCCAAAGCGCTACGTATACATCACTAATTCCCCGAAACCAAATCCCATTATGATCGACATGTATACAAGACACATCTAAGACTTATTGTATATTTCGTGTAGTATGTGTAAGGCGAAATCGAACCACTTCGCACTGGTTTGGCTGTATATAACGTATTGTTTTTTTCTTTAGTACTGATACACACTTTTGTTTAGTTCTAAGTGCTTAAAATAAACAAGATTTCGATAAATTAAGACAAGCAGGAGCACACACAATATGGAAAATGGTTTGCAATACAGCCTTAGATCAGCGCTATTTGTATTAGGCCTAGTAAAACGCGTCTATTACTAAAAGTAGCGCCACTATTAACGCGAGTATGCTGCAAATGCTGTTTATTTATAGTACGATTACCCACTAAGCATTGAGAGCATAAAAACACAATCCAGAGAAAAGACATCAGAACTATACGAATACAAGCTAAAAGCTTCTTCGTTTTGTTTTTTGAAATCATCTTGTAGCGTGTTTTATGGCATGTATTTTTTATATAATTTCCAAAATGTTTCCTACAACAAAGTACATATGAAACACAGGACGAAGGCGGAACATTTTAAACTACATATAAATATGAAATGATTCGGAGCAAGTCCGATCTCGCGATGCTTTCAAAATGTACAAACAGGCAAATGGCCAATATGGTTGGCCATTCGATTAAAATGCTGCGTACAGCACCGCATACATATGGCATATATACATATATATGGCGTAAATATACAATATATTTTTATGTACAAAAACGCAAAATCGTACATACATACATACGAGTATATATAATGAATAACGTTTTGCATAGGATCGCATTGGTTTCATAATACATAATTAATACCTTGCAAAATACGCATATATTGTATGATTCATTGTAACAGTTATATATACTGGCAAGCATATATACCTAGGCATGTAAGTGAAGCAGAAGTGAGGAATTCGAGCAACTTTGATAAGTAGAGGCACACCACTTTCATAATCAATCAACTAACTTTGTAAGACACAACACAAATCAACTCAACACTCAACCAAACGAATGAAAGACAGATGGTGTCGGATCGGTGGCGAAGGAAGCTAAAATAATTAGAGTGTTTAAGACAATTAAGCGGTGATATAGGTCTAGAATAAACAACTGTGTAAATCTCTGACAGAAGCAGAAGCAGTATAGAACAGAACAGCCGGACAACATCTGCTAGAGTTTGAGATAATGAGGAATTAATGATGATCAAGTGTATCCAAAGGATTTCAAAAACTAGCATTTTTCTCTCGATGTAGTAAGCAAGAATTTTGCCCCAAATTCCAAAACGAAAACTAATAGAACCGAGTATCGAGTAACGAGCATCGGCATCGGTAGCGAGTAAACAATTAAGGAGTAGCAAGGACATAAGCAGAGAGAGGAAAGAGAGACCCCTTCAAGGCAACTAGTCAAAATTTATGAAGCGTAACTTTGAGTTCCATGTAAATAGCGAATGTAATGCGAATTGACCCCGGTACGCGGTACGATGTGTGTATACATATGTAACTAATTGCTAGTTAGCTAAAGGACGAGAGGATTGTGGCAGGACACCAACATGCACAGTGGCGTACGGAACAGGAGGGTTACTTTCTAAGTACTATGTATACATTCAGCAACACTTATATAGAAATACGAAGATAATGAATTATAAACTCGAACAGCAGCCAGAATGTGGCCGAGACCCAATAGGAATACACTAGGAACCGGAACCGGAAATAAAAACAGAAACAGAAACATAAGGGCAGAAGCAGCAGCACTCCATATCGTTGTGGCCAGACAAATCAGTAGTCGTGATGTACAAAATTGTACAATGATGATCGGATGACGGAGTAGCAGCCGCTGTGCTTGAGCATTTTTTTGAGTGTACCTCTCTCTAAATAGGCATTTCCATTTGTTGTCAGCTTTTAAAACGTAAATACGAGCATATTAAATAATAATAAAAGCATTTTAAAGAGGAAAACCGAAACCCACATGAATCAAACGAAATATCGAATAAAACTTCAAGTCAAGGGACACTTTTTAAGCCCAACCCCTTCGGCCAGGATTAAAAGTCCGATTGGCAGACGCTTTGCTGGTTTATTTTGCAATTGTTAAACTGAGACACTTTACTGTCCCCTCATCCTCCAACTCCAACCATCCCCCAACTTCGATTTCCAACTCAGCTAGAGAACCAGCCTTAGTTTGTCTTCTTGTGTCATTGTCAGAACCTTAGTGTGTTATTGATGTTCCAAACGGTCTCCACAAATGTATTCGAATGTTTCTAAAAACTGCTATTTAATTAAACGAAATACGAAAAAAAAAACCTAAATCCAAACCAAACATAAACGTGCAAACATATTTTTGTAAATAGACGAAGCAACGCTTGAATTTTTATCCAGTTTTTGTGTATGGCCAACTGCAGTCGACTTATGGGTGGTGGGCGGCCAGGCTCAGCTTGTGGGCGTGGCCGGCCATCTGAGTGTGAACGCTAAGCATTAGGGTTAAGTGATTTTTATATTCAAAGCGATTTTATAAATCATTTTAATTGTCTATTTTAACGAGTGCAGCAAGCTGAATGAAGAGGAAACGAAACAGATTATGCCGTCGGTTTAGTTCATGTGTGTGAAGAAAAATGTATGCAATTTTTGTCAATAATTGAATGTTTTGAATACTGTGTTCTTACCTTGTTTGGATTTGTTTTTTAAGCTAATATAAATACAAATACAAACTAATTAAAAATATATATTTGTTGTGTTTTTATTTCAATCAGTGTTGATGGCTCAATGGCCTTTGATAAGTATATACATAAAGAAAAAGTATACTATATTATAGGTTTACATGGGATGGCGATATGGGGAAAATGGGTATAAATTACGAGATTCTGAAATGTTCTGAATTCCCCGCCTACAACCTTGATCCGCTACAGTATTTGATTGACCAAGCACAAAAACTCTACATCTGTACAATATACGTATCTAAATAATTATTTTTCTTTTTCCTTCTATGTAATCAAAATTTGGTCATGACTCACTTTGTATAATATATTAATGTATAGACATTTATATATTTCTTATCGTAGGAACAGTACAGTAAAATTCCAATTCATCAACTCTTGACCGGAAGCATTTAAAACTAATAATAATGTATGATTTTATTATGTAGATTTTTTAATTTCATTTAATTCTATTTGAAATAATGAAAGATTTGCTAAAAATGTTTTTTTTTAAGTTTGACATTTTTTATGAAGATGTACTGTAATAACCAACTTGGTGATAAAACATTTTCGTATTGTCGTTTAGTTTTAATTTCAACCCACAGTAATAAACATCGTTTGAACTGAGGTTTGGAAATTTTCAAATAGGAAAAAATAAAGATTTTCATTTATTAAATAACTGGACATTTAGGAAAGCAAATTTCGTGTCACCGATCAGCTAAAGAAATGGACGAGAATGGCTATTTTATTCTTAACCAAGACTGCATTTTGGAGATAATGAAATACCTAATTACCGACTGCGAAGAATACGACACTTCAAAGCATTACGATTTAATCAGCTTTGTGTTGGCCCATGAATTATTCCTGGAATTGCTTGCGACGCATCACAAAAGGCTGTACGAGATTCTGAAAGATGAACTTGCTCGCAGGATTACACAACTGCTCATAGATCTGCGCATCAATAGGTTATCAACCCAAAATAGGGACTTATTCTGGAGATCCCATCTGCATTCTATCAAGGACAGAATATCTTTCAACGTTGATCTACATTTTTACCATAATAAAAAAAAAAAAACGGTGTGTCAGGTAAATGTTGGAAAAACAGGTTAGTAATAATTTTAAAACACAGCCAAACCAACAACCTAACTAATTTTATTTGAAGGCCCCTCATCAAAACCGAACAATATAATATTGATTGCTAACATTACCCCAAAAGAATTAGTGGATATTTGCCGCTCGATACCAAATTTAAGAAAGTTGTCCTTCGAAAGCACTGTAATGATTGGAAACATTTCAAAGATCGTTCCTCATTGCAAAAATCTTGAAAAGCTAAGCATTGAACTTAGGCCAGGAAGCGATGTTGCACAATTTGCATCACTGACACAGTTGCCCAATTTAAAAGCGCTACATATCACTGGATTCCAAAAAAGCGATTCCCAATTAACTTTTTTTAATGATTTAAAAAGATTTTACATACCCAAAAATCGAGCACCTTTAAGATTCTCCTTTCGAGATGATCTACGTGAGCGGTCTATTACTTTTGTTGCTCTTGAGTCATTAAGACAATTGCACATAACTGACTTAACTGAAATCCGTATAACTCTTGAGGCGGCCTATGAATTCAGCGAATTAACGCAAGATGGCAGTCCAATAGATGAATCTATGGTAACCATAACCTTAGGTGAAAATGTGAGCATCAAATTTGATAGCTGTAAGGAAGAGCTCGTTTTAAATATACGTAAAAACTCGGATTTGAGCCAAATGATTTCTTTATCAAAGCTGCACAAACTGAGTAGTTTGGTCATAAAAAATCGTTCTAGAAATTTTATAAAGCACACTTCAATTGCAGAATTCCTTCGATCATTAGTGCCAAATGAATCACTTGCTTTAACATCATGCAAGATAAATCATATATATTTGGATCGATCAGAGTCCAAAGAACTTGCAAAAATAAAGTCGCTTCTATTTTTGAAGTGTAACTTATCCGATTGCAGTTCGTTGCAGTTTTTAAACCAATTAACCAACTTGCAGTACTTGGAAATCAATGTCAATGAATCACTTGATACCGATACATCATTGTTTGTTCTCGATTTGCTATCTTCATGTCGGATCCAAGCTAAAATAATTTTCGAAAATGTTAATATTACCTTAATGAAGCATGAGGAAAACCTACATATTTTTTTAAAATTCGCCTGTGCATCCGATATATTGTCTCCCCTGGCAAAACTTAATGGCGTTACCAGCCTTAAAATTTCAGGCCGTTCAGGAGACCAATCCCTAAATGGATTCTTTGAAGCATTCGCCACCAATAGAATGAATACTATCGAAGAATTAGATATTTCCGAATTGGGTAACACTTTCTTTAACAGGATATCTAAAGTGGCAGAAATTCAAACCATTAAAAAACTGTCGTGCCACCTCGTAGATTTAGCTGGAATTGAGAAGTTGGCCAACTTGAATCAACTTGAAGAATTGAACATAAAATCCAATGCATTTGGAAACCTGTCTTCGCTTTTTACCAATCTGGCGACAAAGAATGTAATTCAACATATAAAAATACCAAATGGTAACCTTTCGCCTGAAGAGGTTTTACAAGTTTCCCGGATAAGATCCCTGAAAAAATTAGAGTGCTCCTTTGCCGACTTGCACGATCAATATTCTATGTCAGAGCTGGCTAACTCTAGAACTAAAGAACTAGTTCTTTATTATACTCATTTCAACCAAAATCGAAACCAAACTCTAGTGACAATATTAACAGCATTTTCCTCAAAGAGTGTAATCGAGCTTCAGTACCTTGAAATTAAAGACAAAACCATCGACATTTTAGAAGTCACCTACATTTCTAAATTAACAGTTTTAAAAAGTTTGCAAATTGCGTGTTTTGACTCACTTTGGGCTTTGGCACGCAATCCATTGTGTAATCTTCAGAAATTGGAATTCAATTTTCATATTGGCTTTAGGGAATGTAAATGTTTGGTTGAACTGGAAGCATTGGAGTCGTTAAAATGCTCAATCCGAGTTGAAAAAGGTACTGAAATCTTGGCCAATATAAAAAGTCTCAAAGAACTGATTATCGTTGAGGCAGAAGGTTCGCTGAGTGAATTTTACCGTCCTTTTGCTCACACAAATTTGCAAAAGCTGCATACACCAATTATAAGTTCGGATGAGATCCATGAGATATCGCAAGTAAAATCATTAGCAGAACTAAATATTGATATTAAAAGAGAATGTGACAACTTGTCAGAAATCGGTCAACTAACTGAACTTAAGACACTACGTATGGCTGAAATTTACTTGCTCGAAATAAACTATGCAATTAGAGATACATTATTAGCTAGCAAAGATACTGTGTTGCCGATTTTTCAAAAGTGTAAAAAACTCGACCACGTGACTCTGGAATTTAGCGAAGGACTCCTGCTCAGGGGAGTAGGACACATTTCAGAAGAAATTTTTAAAATTGTGCGATCTATAAGGGATCCCGTACTTCGCAGACCATTGAAACTATGTATACAATCGTACGAACACGTAAGTAGTAATAAAAATGGCTCAAACTTTTGTCTAATAAAATCTTTTTCATGCAGGTAGAGGACATTGAAAATGAATACTTAATGGTCTCCAGTGTACAACTCTATAATAACAGACATGATCGCGACCTTTTTACGGACTGTTGGGGACTAGGAAGATCCTCATCGTATTATTATTAATGTCAAATTTTAACACAATCTAATTAGAAATAAATTAAACTGTGGCTCTGGTTTAAATAGCCTGTTTTTATTTTAACCTGAGAGGCTTTAAGCAGCCAGGGGCAGCTGTATGCCAATTTGGCGAAGTTTGGGAGAGAATGTGTAAAGTGAGGCGTTAGTCAGCGCCTAGGTAAATCCAGCTGTCCTGTTTCTTAGCAGGATACTTGTTACGAACTTTTCCACAAATCGTAATCGAAGCTTTTTATTTTAACTAATAAAATTCCTAAAAAAAGTGCGTTTTGTAAGTAAAGCTTTAAAAATACATAAGTAATGTTATATTTAGTAACACATTTTAAATCTCCCTTCTGTAATTTTTACTGCCAAGAAAACCTCTATTATGTACGAGCCACTTGGTTTATGTGTGTGAAGAAAAATGTATGAAACTTTTGTCAATAGTTAAATGTTTTGAATACTGTGTCCTTACCTTGTTTGGATTTGCTTTTTAAGCTAATATAAATACAAGTACAAGCTAATAAAAATATATATTTGCTGTGTTATAATCGAAATCAATCGTATCAATGGCCTTAGTTTACTATACTATAGTATTTGATATACCAAATAAAAAAAGCTTCCCTTTCTAAACTCCCATATACGATTTTACATTATTATTTTACTTTATTTTAATCTTCTTTGCTGCTCTACATAGTTCGAAATTTTTAAGCCTGAGTCACTTTATATTATTTCTTTATGTATTTACATGTTTATATACTACTTATCTGAGCTATAGTACAGTAAAATACAAATTCATCAACTCTTGACCGGAAACATTTAATACTAATAATACTGTTAGCTTTTATTATATACAATTTTCATAAATCATTTAATTTTATTTAAAACAATGAAAGATTTGTACAAAATTAAATATTTAGTACTTAAAAGTTTTTATTTCAGAAGTTGTACTGTATTGACCTACTTGGGGATTTTATGAACACATTATTGTTCAGTCTTGATTTCGAAGCCAAGTAGTAAACAGAGGTCTGGTTATTTTCAAAAAAGAAAAAAATAAAGATTTTATTTTGCGATAAAGTGTAAAGCGATATTTCCATTTCATCTGTTTATTTAAGTGAACCTCATCGACAAGCTAAAGAAATGGACGAGAATGGCGCTTGTACTCTCAACTCCGACTGCATCTTGGAGATCATAAAATACATAATTACCGACTGCGAAGCTTATGACACTTCAAGTTATAACGATCTAATAAACTTTGTGTTGGCCCACGAGTTATTCCTTGAATTGCTTGCAACACATTACAAAACGCTGTACAATGAACTTGAGGTGGCTGTTGCTTGTAGGATAAGCAGACTGCTTATAGATCTGCGCATCAATAAGTTATCAAGCCAAAACAGGGACCTCTTCTGGAGTTCCCATCTGCATTCTATTAAGAACAGATTACCATTTAACGTGGATTTGAATTTTCACAATGAGATGGTTTGTAACTCAAATGTTGAAACAAAAGGTTAGTAATTATTTTTGAATACAGCTCCACAAAAGACTTAACGAATTTTATTTGAAGGCCCCTTATCATGTTCCGCGATTATGAAGCTGAATGTTAATATTACCCCAGAAGCGTTGGGGGATATTTGCCGCTCGCTACCAAGTTTAAGAAAGTTGTTCTTCGAAAGCACTGTACTAATGAACGGAAGCATTTCGAAGATCGTTCCTCATTGCAAAAATCTTGAAAAGCTAAGCATTGAACTTAGGCCAGGAAGCGATGTTGCCCAATTTGCTCCACTAACACAGTTGCCCAGTTTAAGAACGTTGAATATCAGTGGAATTCACAAAAGCGGTTCTCAATTGGTATTTTTTAATGATTTAATAAGATGGCACAGACCTCAAAATCTACCACCTTTAAGATTATCCATTCGAGATGACATATGCGAGCGATATATTACTTTTGCTGCTCTTGAGACATTACTTTACTTGCGCATACATGACCATTCCGAAACTAAATCGAGTACATACCATATATCTTTTGAGGCGGAGTATGAGTTCAACGAAGTAACGCAAGGTGGCAGTACAGAAGAAGAATCTCTGGTAACCACAACGTTTGGTAACAATATGAACATGGTTTTTAACAGTTGCAGAGAAGAGCTCGTCTTAATGATAACAAAAAATTCAGATATTGGCAAAGTGTCTTTTTTATCAAGGCTACGCAAGCTGAGAAGTTTGGTCATAAAAAAACTTAATGGAGGATTTATTGAGCAGCATACTTCAATTGCAAAATTCCTTCGATCATTAGTACCAAATGAATCACTAGCTTTAACATCATGCAAGATTAGTGATATATGTTTAGATCGATCAGAGTCTATAGAACTAGCGAAAATAAAGTCGCTTCGATTTTTGAAGTGTTATTTATCCGATTGCTCCTCGTTGCAGTTTTTAAACCAATTAACCAACCTGCAATACCTGGAAATCAATGTCAATGATTCACTTGTTTCCAATACATCATTTTTCGTTCTGAACTTGCTATCTACATGTCAGATGCATGCTAAAATAAATTGTAAAAACTTTGAGATAACCTTAAGGAATTATGAAAAAACCCTTAATATTTTTATGAAATATGACTGTCCAGCCGATATACTGTCTCCCCTGGCACAACTTAATGGCGTTACCAGCCTTCAAATTTCAGGCCAAACGGAGTCCAAGTCCCTAAATAGATTTTTAGAAGCATTCGCCAACAGTAAAATAAGTTCTATCGAAGAATTGGATATTTCCAAATTGAGTATATATGTAAACTCTTTGAATAGCATATCCAAAGTATTGTCCTACTTCAAAATTATTAAGAAACATCCGCGTCCTCTAAGAGATTTACATGGAATTGACCCACTCGAAGAGTTGAACATAAACACCAATGAACTTGGAACTCTCTCTTTGCTTTTTTCCAGTCTGGCGGCAAAGAATGTAATTCAATCTATAAAAATAGCAAGTGTGGAGCTTTTGCCTGAAGAGGTTTCAAGGGTTTCCCGAATAACATCACTGAAAAAATTGGAGTGCTCTTTTGCCGAATTGCAGGATCAAAATTCATTGTCACAGCTAGCTAGCTCTAAAATTAAAGATCTAATTGTTTTCGTAAACCAAAACCAATCCCTAATGACATTACTAACAGCATTTTCCTCGAAAAATACAATCGCGCTTCAGCGCCTTGAAATTGTAGGCAAAACTCTCGACATCTCAGAGCAAACCGAAATTTCAAAATTAACAGTTCTAAAAAGTTTGAAAATTTCGAGTATTCATTTGGTACCTAGTCCGCTGTGCAATCTTCAGAATTTAGAGCTACCTTTTAATATTGGCTTCAGTGAATGTAAATTGTTGGTTGAACTTGAAACACTGCAGTCATTAAAATGCTCATTGCGCGTTGAAAAGGGAATAGAAGTTTTGGCAACTATACAAAGTCTTAAGGAACTAATCATTGATAAAGCTGATGGTTCGCTAGTTGAATTTTTCCGAGCTTTTGCTCATGAAAATTTGGAAAGTTTGCAAATACTGCATATAATAAGTTCGGATGAGATCCATGAGCTATCGCAAATCAAATCGTTAGCAGTTCTGAATATCATTATCAACAGAGAATGTGACAATTTGTCAGAAATAGGCCAACTAACTGAACTTAAGTCTCTACGGATAGCTGAAGAAAACTGGTTTGGAATATGCCAACTAAGTACAGCCGCAAAAGATACGTTTTTTGCTAGCAATGAGGCTGACAAATATAACTTTTTTGCTAGCAATGAAGCCGAAAAAGATACCTTTTTTGCTAGCAATGATTGTGTGTTGCATATTTTTCGAAAGTGTGAGAAACTCGATCACGTGACCCTGGAATTTAACGAAGGATTCATGAAACTAGAAAATATTTCACAAGAAATTTATAAAATTCTGCGATCTAAAAGGGATTCCGAACTTCGCACACCATTAAAACTTTTTATACAATCGTACGATCATGTAAGTAGTAATAAAAATGTCTCAAACTTATGTCTAACAACAAATTTTTTATGCAGGTAGAGGACATTGAAAATGAATACTTAATAGTCTCCAGTAAACAAATCTATAATTACACACATCCTTACGAAATTAACACGAACTGTTGGGGAGGAGGAAGTTGCTCATTGTATTACTAATAATGTCAATTTTTTAAACACATTCTAATTAGATAGAAATTAAACTGTGGCTCTGACTGTGGCGTGACCCTTGAAATAAATAAAGATTTCATGAATGTACTTACTAAAAAATGCAAGAGGAGTTAATAAAATTCTACAAACTACAAGAGATACCGTACTTTGGAGACCTTTACAACTTCGTATTCAATCCTATGATTTTGAGGTAAATAGTAACAATAATAACTCTATTTTTTCCTAATAAAAATATTTTTCATGCAGATAGAGGATATTAATAATGAATACTTGAAGGTGTTCTATTCACAAAGAAGAGAAAAAACCTTTACTTGGGCAGGGTCCCGAAGATTTTCGATGAATTAACACACACAATAAATAGAAAAAAATATATAAAAATAAAGTGAATTATTTTAAAAAGAGTTATATGCAAAGTTTAGATGATTTTTTTCTTAATAACACTTATTTTAAAGGGTTATTAATATAAATAATACAAACCTGTTGCAATCCTTTTTCCAAATTGTTACAAATGTAAAAATCTTTCAATAAACAGAGTGCGGTTATAATGTAATACAATTTATTCAAGTTTTCGTTTGGCAAATTTTGATGGACCATTTTTTGCAAACGCGTCTCTCCAGGTTGTTTAGTTGAATTCTTCCAAAGAAAACGGTCAGCAGCAATTTTATTTCTCGAATTTTAAACCTCTAAATGGCGTTGTTCTTCGGATATGTGTACCTATTCTTGAATACTACAAATATGAATAATATATGTATCTTTATTAATCACTTTATTTTCGCAGCTCCATTCCTGAGACGTAGTGACGCATCCTTCTTGAAGCATCAGTATCATCATGCCATCTTTAGGGTCGTGAGTCATCGGGCCTCAGTCATCTTTGTTAACATGACTAATGTCACGTTAGTTTATTGAAATTTTATTCTCTTTGAATATACATTTGGTGGGTGAGGTTTTTAGGTGGCATTTTCAATACCGATATAGGAATTCATGTAAGGGACAAAGCATCAGAAACCTCACCCGAAAACCTGATGCTTTTTGTTCGTACGAAAATATGTGAAAGGGTTTGAAGTTTTTAGTATTATTGGATATAGGTGTTCTATGAAATCAAAAGAACAAAGTATAGGGATGTTCCGCCAGGTTCAATACAAACAAAAAACTTTTGATAAAGGATTTTGCTAAAATACATTATGTTAAAAGTGGAGGAGTTTAATTCAAAACAAGACATAAATATGATTATTTATTTGAAATAATTTCGTGCCATAGCATTGTTAAGCAATACGTACTAAACCCACATCCATACAATATTTAATAATATTTAATATTATAAATTAGTCATAAAAGAAAATCACTGTGATATACAAGCACAGAAAAAAGCTTCGATAGAAGTAGGACCTAAGATTAGGAGTCTAAAGGGCAATAAATTGTAAAATTTGGGATTTTTTGATGATTTTTGTTCTGTTTTTTTTTTTTTAAATTAGCGCATTGTCAGTTGCTTATCTTGTGTTGATTTTATCATTTTTAATTGTCAATATCGACATAGTCACAAAAACAAAATTTTCCCTGTAGCGTAAAATGTTATATTTTATTAAATGGTATTACACAAAGGTATGTGTATATCAATGCAATGCATGTTTAGTGCACAATTTTTAGAAACACAAAAGGAGGAATTGATTTAGTTGAAAGTCATTTGTGTTACTATATTTTGCGAATGCATAATAATATGATGAACAAATTTTGAAGAAAATGTATTAATTTTATTGGGTTTTATTTTTTTAACTTTTGAAGTGTGTAGGAAAATTTAAATTCGTACGAAATGTTGGTCATTTTCCTTTTATAACTTTATTTGTTGCATTTAGAGATTCTTTTCAAATCGTCTATGAAATTTTTAGTAGAAGTATGTATATTTTATGTAAAAGCATAATGAGCGTACAAGTAGAATAGTAGGAGGGTAGAGAATTCAGCTACTGGTATTAATTATGGAATGTGGTAGTATTCATTATATGAAGTGTACATATTCTATGGGATATGCATATTTATATTCCAAAATGCTATCAAATCATTTACCATTTATTAAGTTATGATTGAAATGAAAGCCCAAGCATCGGAATTATATCCAAAAATATATTCAACTTGATTCTTTTCTCCTTTTAATAACAAGGTTAGGTCTTCATTGCCACTTGTTTAATACTTATATATTACAAAAATTTCGTGCAAACAGGAAAGTTTTTGTGGATAAACTATTTTTAAAGGGCAGAAACAGTTAACTACCAGTATTTTGTTCATTCAATAAGTTATGCCACGTACATATATGATACTTGTAAGCGGAAACTGAACATAAACATTCATATTCACATTCACATTCATTCCTGTTAAATGTTTCTAATAGTAAAGAGGTCCCATTTTTTATAAAGTGGAAAGTTACCCCTGGTGGGCAAAGTGGTTTGTGCAAGTTTTTGGATATGATTTCTACCTCACATTTTTTAAAAGCATGTTTCCCATTTGCATTTTAAATAGAACGAAAAATAGCTAGCACTACTGAAGAATTTTCAAAAATACCTTTCAGAGTGACTTCATAGCTGTTATTGAGGATTTAAAAATCATACTTGCAATCTCTTTAATTAAAGTTAAATAAATCCATTTCGGGGTACTATAAATACATGTGTAATGATGCTGCTCAGTTTTTGTTTATAAAACAATTCAATAAATTGTATCATTCGCCTCAGGTGACGCATTTCAAAAAAAGTAGAAAGGATGAAATTTTGTAGTCGTCGTAATCCAAATCCATTGCCAGTTCAGGAAAAACGTTTACCAGCACCGAACTTTTGACCTGATAGCTCCTAGGTCATTTCTAGTAGGTTTATCAACATTCCTATTATTGAATTGCTTCATTGTATTTATTGTATTCTTCCATTTCAAAGTGCCGAAAATTTTAGCATAAATATAATTTCTAGTAGATTTATCCATATTCCTATTATAGCAAAGATCAAAATATCAAATTTTGGATGCAGTTGAGAATTCAGTTTTTCCATCTCAATGTTTTTTATTGATGAAGTAAGAAGATAAGGGACATCAATGTTTGCTTTGAAAAATCCATTCATTTGAGAAATCTTTAGGAAACGTACGAGCTTCCAATTTCAAACATGCATTTTATTTGTCATAATACGATATTTGCCGTTACCGTAAATTCTTTTTACTGGTGTGAATCGATTTGTATTTTAAATTGTGATTTTATGTTATGTATACTTTTATATACCTTTGTTTGTACTTTATTATACATTATTGACTTGAACAGCTTAATAAATCAAAAATGTGCGGGGCAATTTTTATTATTCAAATTACAAATTAAAAAATATTGTCAAATTTGAATAAAATAAAAACTTCTATTATTTATATTATATTTAAAACTATAACACTAACAGAAAGTTGTTATGAAAAAATATATCGCATTAACAAATAAAAGCTGTACAAATTTTTTACGACCTTTAAACAAAATAGAAAATAACAAAGATATGAGATTTAAATATTGTTTATGTCAATAAGCGATGAAAATCGTTCTGTCGGATAATTGAGATTTTACAGATTTTTTATACGACATTTCAGGTTGCCGATAATAAAGTTGTTTATAAAGTTGAATGTTTCTCAACGATCATAAAATAATATTTATGAACGCATTGTAGAATTTGAATATCAACAGGATCGTTTATATTTATTAGAACATATTAATTCAGATTAGTTTTGTTACCGTTTTATAAATTTTCATCTTTCAGACATCCGTTATTCTTAATATTTGTCCTCTTTTACTTTTTAATAAGAAACATATTTAGTTATCATCAAGTTTTAAGGACTTTTTCATATTATGTAATATTGGTATTAATAGCATAGAAAGCCAATGTCAGTTTGAATGTGTATTTACTGGTTTATTATCCATAAACATTTTTTATTTTGAAAAATGAAGTCAAGATCATAAGACAAATTTTTGGTACCAACATTTTTTTTATATACGTTTACTTTTTTATGCGTTTAAAATCCTTTCATATCTCAATGGGAATCGATAAGCCTTGGAGTAAATAGTATTTGTAGCAAGTGATGCATATCCTACCTGTTTCAAAACAAGTCTAGAACACCACAAAAAATGACATGGGAATATCGGCACACTACCTACTTAGGTTTTCTTCATTTGCATAACTTTTACCATAAGAAGAGCGTCGGTTCGACAGATAATAATTAGAGTAATTTATAAATATCGCGCCTTTTTACTTTATAGTTGATGTGGAAAAAATAAGGATACAATTATAAAGGTATATTTTAAATAAAAAAAAACTATATTATCATAAAAAACTGTATTATTATAAAAATTATTATTATTAAAATATAATGGAAACCCATTTTTGCTTTTTGAATACACAATAAAATAAATTAATTAAGTTTTTAAGAGAGGGTCAAACAGATTTAAACAATATTTCAAGAAGTTTTCAGAATTTTGTTAAGGAAATAATACCATAATTGCCGTACCAAATTGTTTACTCCTTTCGCTTTTCATGAGTAAACAATTTCGAAAGGAAAAACTTCAAAATTACACCCCGCCTATAACTATCTAATTTTTTCTTTGCCTATATGAACTTTTTTATTTGCATACCTATAACCATAAGAAAAGCGTCGTAACAACAGATAATGCCTATTTTGTATTTATTTTTTGCACATCTTTCACGAGAGAATACTGTATGTTTTGAGAGTCGTACTATTTTTTCAGTTTTTGGAAATACTTCTTATTTCAAATGGGAATATTTTTATAACACACCCTGCCTAATCATATTTAATTTTTAAACCGATTTGGGTTTTCTGGATTTGTTAACCTTTTAACACAAGAACAGAGTCATTACGACAGATAATGTTGAATAAATTATACGATCCTACCTATCTTTTGAGTTTTGTTGATAAAATTATACCGCAAATCATTCACGAGGGGAGTCCTACCTACCAACTTATTAATTCTTCAGTTTTTGGAAATACACGATTTGAAATGGGAATACTTTTATAACACACCTTGCCGAATCATATTTAATTTTTTATACCGATTTGGGTTTTATTGATTTATTTACCTTTTACCATAAGAAGAAATCCTTTACGACAGATCACTTGTAGTAAGTTATACGATCCTACCTAATTTGTTGAGATAAAAATCATTCACGAGTGAATACCGTATGTTTTAGAATACTTAAATGGAAATAATTTTATAACAAACCCTGCCTAATTATATTTTATTTTTATACCGATTTCAGTTTTATTGATTTCTTTACATTTTACCATAAGAAGAGAGTCTTTAAGACAGATAATGTTGTAGTTTTTGTTGAGAACATTATACCGCAAATCATTCACGAGGGAAGTCCTACCTACCAATTTATTAATTTTTCAGATTTTGGAAATACACGAATTTAAATGGGAATACTTTTATAACACACCCTGCCTAATCATGTTTTATTTTAATACCGATTTTGGTTTTCTGGATTTATTAACCTTTTAACCAGATAATGTAGAATAAATTATACGAACCTACCTATTTTTTGAGTTTTGTTGAGAAAATTAGACCGCGCCTTATTCACGACTGATTACCGTTTGTTTTGAGAGTCCTACCTACCAATTTAAACTTTATTCAGTTTTATAAATACACGATTTTGAATGGGAATAATTTTATAAGATAACCTGCCTAATCATATTTTTTTTTATTCATATATGGGTTTTGATTTGCACACCATTTACCATAGGAAGAAATTATTAACGACATATAATGTGGAGTAAACTATACGATCCTACCTATTTTGTTTTGGTATTCTCTCATTCACGAGAGAATATCGTATGTCTTGAGAATCGTACTAATTTTTCAGTTTTGGGAAATACAAGATTTTAAATAAGAATACTTTTATAACACACCCTGCCTAATCATATTTTATTTTTTATACCGATTTTGGTTTTATTGATTTATTTACCTCTTACCATAAGAAGAGAGTCTTTAAGACAGATAATTTGGAGTAAATTGTACGATCCTACCTATTTTGTTGTAATTTTTGTTGAGAAAATTCTACCGCAAATCATGCACGAGGGGAGTCCTACCTACCAATTTAATAATTTTTCAGTTTTTCGAAATACACGATTTTAAATAGGAACACTTTTACAACACACCCTGCCTAATCATATTTTATTTTTATTCCGATTTGGTTTTCTGGATTTATTAACCTTTTACCACAAGAACAGAGTCATTACGACAGATAATGCAGAACAAATTATACGATCCTACCTATCTTTTGAGTTTTGTTGAGAAAATTAGACCACAAATCATTCACGAGGGGAGACCAACCTAACAATTTATAAATTTTTAGTTTTTGAAAATACACGATTTTAAATGGGAATACTTTTCTAACACACCCTGCCTAATCATATTTTAGTTTTAGACCGGTTTAGGTTTTTTTTACCTTTTAACACAAAAAAAAGTCATTACGACAGATAATGTAGAATAAATTATGCGATCCTACCTTTTTTTAGTTTTTTTTTAGAAAATTAGACCGCACCTTATTCACGAGTGAATATCGTATGTTTTGAGAGACCTACCTACCAATTTAAACTTTATTCAGGTTTTTATAAATACACGGTTTAAATGGCAATACTTTTATAACATACCCTGCCTAATCATATTTTACTATGTTATACCTATATCGGATTTGATTTGCACACCATTTACCATAGGAAGAGATTCATAAAGACAGATAATGTAAATTGTACGATCCTACCTATTTTTTTGTAGTTTTTGTTGATAAAATTATACCGCAAATCATTCACGAGGGGAGTCCTACCTACAAATTTATGAATTTTTTAAGTTTTTGGAAATACCCCATTTTAAATGGGAAAACTTTTATAACACACCCTGCCTAATCATATTTTATTTTTAGGGAACAGAGACATAACGAAAGATGATGTAGAATAAATTATACGAACCTGCCTATTTTTTGAGTTTTGTTGAGAATATTACCGTTTGTTTTGAGAATCCTACCTACCAACATTCTACCTATCCTACCTATTTTGTTGAGAAAAAAATCATTTACAAGTGAATACCGTATGTTTTGAGAATCGTACTAATTTTTTAGATTTGGGAAATAAACGATTTTAAATGGGAATACTTTTATAACACACCCTGCCTAATCATATTTTATTTTTTATACCGATTTCGGTTTTATTGATTCATTTACCTTTTACCATAAGAAGAGAGTCTTTAAGACAGATAATGTTGTAGTTTTTGTTGAGAAAATTAAACGCAAATCATTCACGAGGGGAGTCCTACCTACCAATTTATTAATTTTTCAGTTTTTGGAAATACACGATTTGAAATGGGAATACTTATAACACACCTTGCCTAATCATATTTTATTTTTATACCGATTTGGGTTTTCTGGAATTGTTTACTTTTTACTATCAGAAGGGAATATCGTATGTTCTGAGAGTCCTACCTATCAATTTAAACATTATTCAGTGTTTATTTGTATTTGTCGTTTATTTGATTTTAAATACTTTTATAACACACCCTGCCTAATCATATTTTATTTTTATACCGATTTTGTTTATATGATCCTACCTATTTTGTTGTAGTTTTTGTTGAGAAAATTGTACGCAAATCATTCACGAGGGGAGTCCTACCTACCAATATTAATTTTTCAGTTTTTGGAAATACGATTTGAAATGGGAATACTTATATCACACCCTGCCTAATCATATTTTATTTTTAGAGAATAGAGTCATAACGAAAGATAATGTAAAATAAATTATACAAACCTACCTATTTTTTGAGTTTTGTTGAGAAAATTAGACCGCACCTCATAAACGACTGATTACCGTTTGTTTTGAGAGTTTTACCTACCAACATCCTACCTATTTTGTTGAGAAAAAAATTATTCACGAGTGAATACCGTATGTTTTGGGAATCGTACTAATTTTTCAGTTTTGGGAAACACCCTGCCTAATCATATTTTATTTTTTATACCGATTTGGATTTTATTGATTTGTTTACCTTTTACCATAAGAAGAAAGTCTTTACGACAGATAATTTGTAGAAAATTTTACGATCCTACCTATTTTGTTGAAGTTTTTTTGAGAAAATTATACCGCAAATCATTCACGAGGGGAGTCCTACCTACCAATTTATTAATTTTTCAGTTTTTGAAAATACACAATTTGAAATGGGAATACTTTTTAACACACCCTGCCTAATCATATTTTATTTTTAGAGAACAGAGTCATAACGAAAGATAATGTAGAATAAATTATACGAACCTGCCTATTTTTTGAGTTTTGTTGAGAATATTACCGTTTGTTTTGAGAGTCCTACCTACCAACATTCTACCTATCCTACCTATTTTGTTGAGAAAAAAATTATTCACGAGTGAATACCGTATGTTTTGGGAATCGTACTAATTTTTCAGTTTTGGGAAACACCCTGCCTAATCATATTTTATTTTTTATACCGATTTGGATTTTATTGATTTGTTTACCTTTTACCATAAGAAAAAAGTCTTTACGACAGATAATTTGTAAAAAATTATACGATCCTACCTATTTTGTTGTAGTTTCTTTTTGAGATATTATACCGCAAATCATTCACGAGGGGAGTCCTAGCTACCAATTTATTAATTTTTCAGTTCTTGGAAATACCCGATTTTAAATGGGAAAACTTTTATAACATACCCTGCCTAATCATATTTTACTATGTTATACCTATATCGGATTTGATTTGCACACCATTTACCATAGGAAGAGATTCATAAAGACAGATAATGTAAATTGTACGATCCTACCTATTTTTTGTAGTTTTTGTTGATAAAATTATACCGCAAATCATTCACGAGGGGAGTCCTACCTACCAACTTATTAATTCTTCAGTTTTAGGAAATACACGATTTTAAATGGGGATACTTTTATAACACACCCTGCCTAATAATATTTTATTTTTATACCGATTTGGGTTTTCTGGATTTCTTTACCTTTAACTATAAGAAGGGACTCATTACGATCCTACCTATTTTTTGAGTTTTTGTGGAGAAAATTAAACAGCACCTAATTCACGAGGGAATATCGTATGTTGTGAGACTCCTACCTATCAATTTAAACATTATTCAGTGTCTATTTGTATTTGTCGTTTATTTGTTTTTAAATGGGAATGTTTTTATAAAACACCCTGCCTAATCATATGTAATTTTATACCGATTTGGTTTTCTGGATTTATTAACCTTCTACCACAAGAACAGAGTCATTACGACAGATAATGTAATATAAATTATACGAACCTACCAATTTTTTGAGTTTTGTTGAGAAAATTTGACCCCACCTCATTAACGACTGATTACCGTTTGTTTTGAGAGTCCTACCTACCAATATCCTACCTATTTTGCTGAGAAAAAATCATTTACGAGTGAATACCGTATGTTTTGAGAACCGTAGTAATTTTTCAGTTTTTGGAAATACACGATTTAAACTGGGAATACTTTTTTAACACACCCGGCCTAATCATATTTTATTTTTATACCGATTTCGGTTTTATTGAGTTCTTTACCTTTTACCATAAGAAGAGAGTCTTTAAGACAGATAATATGTAGTAAACTATACGATCCTACCTATTTTGTTGTAGTTTTGTTGAGAAAAAAAATCATTCACGAGTGAATATCGTATGTTTTGAGAACCGTAGTAATTTTTCAGTTTTGGGAAATACAAGATTTTAAATAAGAATACTCATATAACACAACCTGCGTAATCATATTTTATTTTTTATACCGATTTGGATTTTATTGATTTGTTTACCTTTTACCATAAGAAGAGAGTCTTTATGACAGATAATTTGTAGAAAATTATACGATCCTACCTTTTTTGTTGTAGTTTTTTTTTGAGAAAATTATACCGCAAATCATTTACGAGGGGAGTCCTACCTACCAATTTATTAATTTTTCAGTTTTTGGAAATGCACGGGTTTAAATGGGATTACTTTTATACCACACCCTGCCTAATTATATTTTATTTTTTATACCGATTTCGGTTTTATTGATTTCTTTACCCTTTACCATAAGAAGAGAGTCTTTAAGACAGATAATTTGTAGTAAAGTATACGATCCTACCTATTTTGTTGTAGTTTTGTTGAGAAAAAATCATTCACGAGTGAATATCGTATGTTTTGAGAATCGTACTAATTTTTCAGTTTTGGGAAATACAAGATTCTAATTAAGAATAATTTTATAACACACCCTGCCTAATCATATTTTATTTTTTATACCGATTTCGGTTTTATTAATTTCTTTAATTTTTACCATAAGAAGAGAGTCTTTAAGACAGATAATTTGAGAAAATTGTACCGCAAAGCATTCACGAGAGGAGTCCTACCTACCAATTTATTAATTTTTCAGTTTTGGGAAATACACGATTTTAAATGGGAATACTTTTATACCATTATATTATATTTTATTTTTTATACCGATTTCGGTTTTATTGATTTCTTTACCCTTTACCATAAGAAGAGAGTCTTTAAGACAGATAATTTGTAGTAAAGTATACGATCCTACCTATTTTGTTGTAGTTTTGTTGAGAAAAAATCATTCACGAGTGAATATCGTATGTTTTGAGAATCGTACTAATTTTTCAGTTTTGGGAAATACAAGATTCTAATTAAGAATAATTTTATAACACACCCTGCCTAATCATATTTTACTTTTTATACCGATTTCGGTTTTATTAATTTTTTTTATTTTTTATCATAGGAAGAAAGTCTTTACGACAGATAATTTGAGAAAATTGTACCGCAAAGCATTCACGAGAGGAGTCCTACCTACCCATTTATTAATTTTTCAGTTTTGGGAAATACACGATTTTAAATGGGAATACTTTTATAACACACCCTGCCTAATCATATTTAATTTTTTATACCGATTTCGGTTTTATTGATTTCTTTAATTTTTACCATAGGAAGAAAGTCTTTACGACAGATAATTTGAGAAAATTGTACCGCAAAGCATTCACGAGAGGAGTCCTACCTACCAATTTATTAATTTTTCAGTTTTGGGAAATACACGATTATAAATGGGGATACTTTTATAACATACCCTGCCTAATTACAATTATTGTTTATACCGATTTCGGTTTTATTAATTTTTACCATAGGAAGAAAGTCTTTACGACAGATAATTTGAGAAAATTGTTCCGCAAAGCATTCACGAGAGGAGTCCTACCTACCAATTTATTAATTTTTCAGTTTTGGGAAATACACGATTATAAATGGGGATACTTTTATAACATACCCTGCCTAATTACAATTATTGTTTATACCGATTTCGGTTTTATTAATTTTTACCATAGGAAGAAAGTCTTTACGACAGATAATTTGAGAAAATTGTTCCGCAAAGCATTCACGAGAGGAGTCCTACCTACCAATTTATTAATTTTTCAGTTTTGGGAAATACACGATTATAAATGGGGATACTTTTATAACACACCCTGCCTAATTACAATTATTGTTTACACCGATTTCGGTTTTATTGATTTGTTTACCTTTTACCATAGGAAGATAGTCAGTACGATCCAACCTAATTTTTTAATTTTTTGTTAAAAAAGTTATACCTCACATTATTCACAAGTGAATACCGTATTTTTTGATAGTCCTACCTACAAATTTAAACATTTTTCAGTTTTTATAAATACACTATTTTAAATGGAAATACTTTTTTAACACACCCTGCCTAATTGTATTTTATTCGTTTGGACAGATAATTTAAAACACATTATACGATCCTACCTATTTTCTTTAGTTTCTGTCGAGAAAATTACATCACACATTAATCCCTAGGAGAGTCCTTCTGGGAAATACACTATTTTAAATGGGAATACTTTTATAACACACCCTGCCCAATCATATTTTAATTTTATACCGATTTGGGGTTTCTCGATTTGTTTACCTTTTACTATAAGAAGAGAGTCATTACGATACTACCTTTTTTTTGGGTTTTTGTTGAGAAAATTAATCAGCACCTCATTTAGGAGTGAATACCGTATGGTTTTATAGTCCTACCTACCAATTTAAGCATTTTTTTTTTTTAATACACGATTTTAAATGGGGATACTTTTATAACACACCCTGCCTAATCATATTTTATTTTTATACCGATTGGGTTTTCTGGATTTTTACCTTTTGACATAAGAAGAAAATTCCTACCTACCAATTTGAACATTATTCAGTGTTTATTTGTATTTGAATTTGATTTGTATACCATTTACCTTAAGAAGATCCTACCTATTTTCTTTAGTTTTTATTGAGAACATTACACCACTCATTAATTACGAGTGAGAGTCCTACCTACAATTTTCAGTCAATAATTTTTAAAAGTATTAGTTTAAAACCTCTTTGTTTAAAACCTGTAGTATTTTTTATATAAAGGTAGTTAACTTATTTTAGCTATTGAATTATTATAAATATTTGTGTATTTGTTTTTACCACAAGAATAAATTGTTCAATCGAAGGAAGATTTATTTGGGTTTTTTTTAAACGTATGAATGGTTTTGTATATAAGATTTATTGAACATTGTTTATTTCATTAAAAAAATATTGTTTTATTATATTTATTGGTATTAATATGTATTGTAGTTCAAAGTTATTGATACCGCCAAATGGAGAGATTTTATGTCGTGGATTATTCTTAGAAAAAACGTATTGATGTTATCCTAAAAATGTTGAGAAATATAAATTGCAATATACGTACTTTTAAGCTGATCTTTTAAACATTCGAATACTCTTTCCAATACAAACTTTTAGCGTTCAACAGAGATCATTGGCCCTTCCTTTTTATGCAGACACTTGGCCCGATTTTTCGACTTGGTTTGAAAACATCAGAGTAATTTGTGTGTGAGACGAAGACTATTGGCACGTTGATATAAGGGCCCTTCCTCCGTGGGACTATTCTGGTAACGCTACGTTTAAGTTCGATGGTATAACTGAAATCGCATCTAAGCTTGAAATAAAAAATATGACGAGCAAATGTTTCGAAATTTATTTTTGGAACTTTTGAATTTTTTATTCACTTTTTCTGTGGCCTTTCCATTACGGAGCTCTTTTGTTATTCATTTTTTCTATTTTTGTTGTGGTTCAACAAGTAATTTTACATCGGTACAGGTAATTCTAATTTGGTGAAGTGTACAAAAACAAAAAATTTAAACAGTTTCTGGTATTTAAGAACATAAGTGACACATTGTTGTTGGAAATAACTTCCGTATTGACTTTACAACTGAATATAAGAACAAAATTAATGTTTACAACCAACTGGCGGGGTATTCGTATTCGATTCCGACCTCGTTGATTCAATTACTAATCCAGAGACGATGTGTCATTGAACGGATACGGATTCAATATGCTGCCACGTATGTCTGCCCGATACGGAACTTGTTCGATGATAGTTAGCAACAGAAGGCCTTTCGGTTTCGGGTTCCCGTTCACCCTTAGTGGAGCAGAGAAGTCGATACACCAGTGTTCCTATAACACAATCCGCACAATCAATCTGACAGAATCGAGCACCCTGGCTGGTCCGCGACCCCGGACACTAGATATGTACATATATCATATACGTAATCACAGTCACGGTCGCAGACACAGCTTTCGCAAAAACGCTGCAATCGGGCCGAGTGCATTTTCAGCACCCATTAGCCGACCCATGCTCGCGCAGGGTATCGACTTTTCACGGATCGATATCAACTTTCAACGCCCAACTATAAAGTTTAGAGAAAGAAATACATATTGCTTGGTTAAGTGGTATGGCAGAGTTGCATATAGAGAGATGGTTACAAATAAGATTAACAGCTAGGTAAATGTTAAAACAACTACGAGCTAGTTTAGAATGCCAATAGAAGCGACAGACGTGACGTGATGGAACAAAGTCAGGCTGGAAAGTTTTCCGCTGTGAAAATACATATATACTATGGATCGTTACCATAAAACGTTGGGGAAGGCAAACAAAGAGCGCGGGGTTATTTACGCCACAGTGGTTTTTGCGCAGCTGCCGTTGCCGTCCAATTACTATACATCCATATGTATGGGGGCTCTGAATATATACGTATGTATCTGTAGAAATGTGTATACCCGAGAGGTAGAGAGAGACGCCAACGGGGCGTATGAGTACGCTATTTTTAGAGAGCGAGCCAGTTGGTGGCCTTTCGATCCGGGGGTTGTAAACGAGAATCGAGAACTTTCGACTTGGGTACATAGAAATGTGAAATACTAGGGAAACATTTATTCCCGGGTTACGCAAGACGATGAAATTGCAATGGCTGCAGAAGGAATAACGCTCGATGGCGACGTTTGAAAACGCTTTTCGCCGAAGGTCGATGTGTGGTTATAAACTACGACTTAGGCTTAGGTTGGGCTTACGATTACGAATAGAATTATAGAAGAACACGCTGGTTTCGCCGCTGTGTATGTATACCTCTGGCTTCCTATCCCAATTTATCAAATCCGCAGATCAGGGCCATCGCCATTCGGCACTCAGATAGTGGGGTCCCAGTACCGCATATCCTGGATTTCTGCCTCAGACTGCCTAGTGGGTCACTTTCTAGCGAAAATCGACTGCCAAAAACTGCCTGCCGCATTGCGAAATTCACCATTCGCTCTGACCAGCAAAATCGATGACTAATTCACATCTTTTCCAGTGGGTCTGCGTCTGGTTTTTTTCTTTGTTTCCAACTCGAGAGCAAATAATGCCCGACGTGGACAAATACTACGTGGGCCCTGGCGTCATTTTGCAATACTCGTACTGCTGCTCGTCTGGTGCGACACGATTTTTACACTTTTCCATATTTGGATACAATTACTGCTTGCGAACTGCAAGAGTGAAATTTTCTTTGTACTAATTTAAACTGGTTTTTTTATTCAGCTACACTGTTGACTGCACTTGAACACTTTTCCTGCGAGAGTGACGTTCTCCGGGCGAGGCGGCCCTATTTATACCCATCCGTTGGCTTCCCGAACCATCTGCCAGTCTCTCGGGTCTCTGGCATTGGGGTTGGAACGAGTACACACTACTTCATATCGCGGTCTACGTGCCTCGGCCTGGTTTCTCACGAGTTTCTATATCACTATGCTACAAAAACTACCCTCAATTCATGGGATTTGTTGTTAAGCCGGATATTCCTCTTTTGTTCGAGCCTGGGTTCTAGAAACTACTGCACATGCTAATGGATTTCAGAGATGCATACATACAAATTGTTAAAACATTTTTCTGTATTTTTTGGAACATTAATTTTCTTTTTTTTTTCTCATATTCTGTTCATAAGTTGGGTTATCTAAACCCAATATTACTAGCAGCTCAGAGTTACTATTAGTAAAAGTCTAAACTCAAAACGCGAAATTTAGAATTGTGTCATTTTGTAAGTTTTAATTTTAATTATTTTAAGATCCTACTAAAACCAGTTGCTAATCTAATCTTGTTGTTTAGTGTTAATTGGAAATTTCCAGAGGGAGACAGAAAATTTACGATTTTAGTAAGAGAGAACACTAGTTCGTATTGACTCAGAGTTGTCACTTTACATGTGGAATATTCCACAAGGTTTATTCTCTATTTATTTAAGCTGCGTTTAATATGAATATGAATTAAACGAATTTTGTTCTTCATTTTATTAACATTGTTTGAACATATATACGTAAAGATATTAAATTAATTAGAGAACAAATTACGATAATTTATGTATTAAACACTATGTTGTACTATGTAAAATACATGTCAAACTAAAATGTCATAAATTAAGTACCAAAAACGGCCATATGTAGATATAAGTAAATGGCGCTGTATTCTCTACACCACCAAAAACTGATGTTTATCGATGTTTGGTCAAACAACCACATGCAATATGTTTAAAATAAAAAATAACATACTTTATTATTAGGCATTTAGTTAGAAAATATTTAAAATATATAACAATAATATATTTCTTTCTTTGAATATTAAAAAAAATTACTATACTCCTGAATACTTTCAGCTGCCTGCATTTATTTCCTATCCCCCTATAATCCGGTTTACAACGATCTACCTACTTGCGCATTGAAACCCTCATAATGTGTGCTATTGCTCAGATTTCGAAAGGTTAGAAAACCACCCCCGAATCCTTTCAGTGTATGCTGGCGAGTGGCCAAATGTTTGCGAGTGCTGAACCAAACACAAGGTTTTTGAACCTTTGGCCGCTGGCTGAGCAGGAAAGCCAGCTGTTGCAAACGCACGCGCATCCTGCGCTTAATCGACCTCGGGGTGGGATGTCCTCACTCCTTGAAAAGAGAGCGAGAGGGTGGGTATCGCCGACTCTGACTGGATTGAGTGAGTGATTTTCTGTGCGAGTGAGTTCCGTTCCCGAGAAGCAACATCCTTGAGCAACAGAGTGCTCAGCTTGGAGCGCCAACTAAATGCTAACGAGCCGAGCTGCGAAACTTGAAAACTGCCATTAAACTTCAAACAAAAAGTATGCAAAGTTTGGATTATTTTGTATCGGTCGACAGAGATTTAATTGCCGACCCAGCTTAAGCAATGTCCGGACTCTGAAAATAAGCGGAAGGATCTCCATGTTCGGCCATAAAGCCAAGTTGCACAAGGAACAATTGCAAGGAAGAGCCACATAATCATAAACAAACGGACAGGCGAAAGCAATTGACACGAGAGGCAACAAAAGCGCCAGCATAATGGGGCATCACGGAAATTGCGTATACGCCATGCGGTCCCCTTGTTGCTTTCCGTTTTGTTTTGTTTCCTGCCGCAGGCTGGCACGCAACAAACAATGGCCAGAAGTCAAATGGCATAATAAACGTATTTATGAAGGGGGCCCGAAATGAGCATATGATGAATATGAATCCCAAGTGGAGGCGTAGGTGTGCCTTTGTGTTTGGGTTTGGGTTTGGGTTTTCGGGGGGAACGCAGCCTCCCACGCGGTCGCCCTGACATTTCAACGATCCAACCTTGGATATTGCCAAATGTGGTCCTTCAGTTTTAAGCCTACAAAGTTGTGCGCTAAGCCTGCGAAAAGTACGGAACGGGAACGGTAGAAAACTACGGGCATAAACATATAGGAGAGCTCTGTCATTGCATTTGAGGGCCGTTGGTTCAGCGCTCAGCGAGTACATAGGCGACACAAGGACGACTGAGCGAGCGAGCGACTGAGCGACGGAACGAACGAACAAATCGCCCGAGTGGGTGGCACTGCAAAGGCCCACTCCTTTCGAGGGCGAGTCCAAATACCCAGAGCCGAAGCAAAGACCTACATTCAGTCGTATCCTGTCCGCATCCGTCGGCTCCCCATCGGCTCCATTTGGCCTGAAAAACGAGCTGCCGCGGCCGCAGTGCCAGCAGTCCTCATTCAGACGCGAATCCGTTGACAACGCGGTCGCCCCAGGGGCGGATGACTCTGTACGACCCACGACCCACAACATCTCGCATCGCGGAAACGACCACGCGTAGTGTTAACCTTTCGAGTGTCCATCTCCATGTCCATATCCTGCTGATTTATCCGGGGGAGTGTTTGTGTTTGCTTTTGCTGTTGCTGTTGCACCTGCTAGTGTGGGAGTTTCGTTCCTCGATTCGCTATTCGTCCTCCAGGAATTGCATCTAATTTTGCACTTTCCTCCAGCTCGGACAGTTTAATTAGTTGGCCCATGGCTGATTTGTCAGCCCCTTGGTGTTGACACTCGGTCTTACGCCCCATTGCGCCCTGGGGCCCAAGTCTAAGGACTATCGGCATTGGCATCTCCTTCAAGATGGCCAGCAGGCATGTAAGCTCAATTAGGTCCCAAGCACTTTCACGCTCGACGAAGGAGCCCAATCCAATTGCGAAAGGAACACCAGCTGCGGAGCGGTTCAGCTACACAGAAAAGTTGACTTTTAACTTGGCATCAACAGTTAAAACTTCTTAACTGATTGCACTGCTTGCGCAAATATTAATACAGCATTTTCGGACATTTTTCTCCGTCCAGTTAGGGAATATAAATCGGAGTTATCTTGCTGCTAGATTTTATGAATAATTTCAAACCCTTTCATTTTTAAGTGTCACAATTTTTTGTTAGCTTGGAACATTAAGCAGCTCATTTATTTTTTGAAAATATTAAAAGTAATAAATTTAATAGTTAATCTGGTTTATTTTTAATTTTATGAACATTTAAGAAAAACTTAAATGCTTGAACTTTAAGCAGCAAGCATAATTTCCATAATCTACAGATATTGAAGTTATTAAAAAATCTCAGAAATATTAGAAATATTTTAAAATTTTAGATAATTTATTTATCCTTGACTTATTGCTGTATTTACCAATAAGGCACATATTTATTTTTTGATGCTGTTTTACAAATATTTTAGTTAAAAGGAAACATTCCATTGACTTTCAAGAAAGATCCATTTTTTGTTGCCGTGCCTGGACAGTTTGAATTGTGACGAGGGGTCCTTAGTCGCCAGTTTGTCTGATGTAGACACTCCCATGGAGCCGCACAAAAGAATGTCGCTTGGCCCTGGCTTCGTTTGTTACCAATTGTTTCAATGCTTACTGGCAATTTTTCGGCACTCAATCGAAGAGTGCTGCGTGCGCCTGGCAGTTGTGCTTAATGGAATTTTTATGCGCTGCTATTGAGTTGCTCAATTGCTCGTTGGCTTCGATGTTTGTTCGACGATTTTTGAGGTCAAAGTGCACGCTCCCTGCCTTTTTTCAATTGTGCCAAAAACAGCAGCCAAACAATGGCCAAAAAAAAGGCATTAAAATTAATTAGCGACGCGCATGTGTTGGAACTGCGGCTGTGACCATGTCCCTGAGCCCAGTCTCTCGGTTCAGTTGCATCCATCCAGGCACCCAGCATTTGGCCTTATCTGAAATATGCACACGAGGCCTTGGGCCGCCGACTTTTTCGTAATGCCAGCCAAGGCAACGTCAACCAGCTGACGAACGACCCAGCCATTCGGATTCGCATCCGAAATGGCAACAAACTGTTGTAGGTGATTTCCCTAAAAAGAGAGAGAAAAAAAAGGGGAAACCTTGGGCGGGTAGAAAATTGCATTTGTTGTGCAACTTCAGGGCAAACACAGCGAACATAACCCCCCGATAAACGAGACATTGTGGGGCGTGAGTGCTAATTAAAAACTGTTGTCTAATCCGTAAAGCCACGAAACTTCCTGCATATCCTGAACACAAGCCAACGAAATGCCAAGTGACGATGCCATTTTTATAGACCTTTTCTAAAGCAACCGAGATACGAATTGGAGATAGCGAAAGCGAGGCGCCAGTGAAAGTGCCATCCGCCCAATCAAGACGGCCGGATGATGGCAGCCAGCGGTCGGATTCGCAAGCGAAAGCATAAAAGCCATACAAGTGGCGACATTCCCACTGCGACAACGACTACGACTACGACTAGTATACCAATAGCAACAACAATGGCGCCTGCTAAAATCGAGGAGACAATGGAGGAAGCCGCCGCCCTCGCCGGGGATTATAATAATTTCACGCATAATTTCGTCGATTTGCAGAACCTCTTGAGTTTCAATGAATTGAATGGAAGTAGCAGCGGCAGCGGCATCTCCTCGAGCGCATCGAGTGCCATTAAGCTGAGTAACGGCCCCATTACGGACACTCTTCTGGGCACGGTTCTGACCACGGCCACAGCCACGGTGGCTCCGGCGGCCAGCTCCCTGATAGCCACCTTGGCGGCCACCACGACGGCCTCGGCGAGGGGCAGACCTTTGGCCATTGCCGATGCCACCTCATCCACCTACTACGCCAACTTGCTGAACCTGTCGCCGGCCACCACCAGTTTGATCTCGGCGGCGGCGGCCACCAAGTCGTACAACGACAGCGCTTTGCGGTGGGAGCAGCTGGACGGGACGGTGGACTTCGGATTCGATCCCCTCTACCGCCACTCGCTGGCCATGTCCATGGTCTACTGCGTGGCCTACATCGTGGTCTTCCTGGTGGGCCTCATCGGGAACAGCTTCGTGATCGCCGTCGTCCTGCGGGCTCCTCGCATGCGTACGGTGACGAACTACTTCATTGTGAATCTGGTGGGTGGACCTCTCCTGCGTAAATCTCCCAGAACGAACCCCATTAATTTTAAATAAAATTTACATTCCCCCTCCCACGAATACCAAAGGCCATTGCGGACATCCTAGTCATTGTCTTCTGCCTGCCAGCCACGCTGATTGGCAACATCTTTGTGCGTAAGTATCTCTTTAATTCCGTAAGACGTCGAGATTTATTGTGCCACTGCACTATGGTCCAAAAGTCGATTTTTTTGGCATAAACTCTAAAAATTGAGTCACAGACTCAAACAAATTTTTGAGTCTGTGCGACCACGCCCTCTTTTGCCTCCCATACAAGCAAATTCATAATACTACACTGTGTTATAAAATTTAACCTTTTTTTAAATACCTCGATGAAATCTTAAAAGTCCTATTTGCTTTAAATAATCGGCGCTCTAAATGTGCTCTCGAAAAAATTTTCACACCCAAGGATTCTAAAAAAAAGGACATTAAAGTTGGAAAAATTCCGTTTTTGGCAAACTTTGAACCTATTTTGCAGATAGCATTTAAAAAGTGCAACTCTGTATCTTTCAAACCCCACACTCACAATAATTTTTGTAATTTTTTTAACGGAATTATAAGCAAAGGAAGACATTTCCTTTTCTTTCTCTTACGAATGCTTAACAAGGAAGGATTCAAAATAACTACTTTTTTAAATTTATTTTTGATGTTTTATCATCTTTTAAGTGGTAATTGATAATTTTTACAGAAATGCAATCCGAAAAAATTAAATTTTCGATTGTTGCTGCGCCAAATATCCTAGAGATCGCTACGAAGAAACTTTAAGGTCCCTGAATAGTGTGGAATTGCGTGAAAAGGGGGACGAACGGGGAAAAGGTGTTAATTAGCGCTGAAAAACGACATGTATATGTACAAACTGGCGTACTTAGTTTTTGTGGGCAGACGTCGGGTCGTTAGTTTTATCCCACTAAATACAGGAAACAAATATTAATTTTCTATAAAAATACACATAAATTGGAAATTAAACACAGGTCGAACACTAAGATTACACATTAATGTACTATACACACTAAATATTACATACCTTGATCTTTCATTTCCATAATTTACTTAATTTAGTCGGGACAAAGAAGTTTTATTTTTTTGCACAAACGTAAAGAAAATATTATGGCGCCAATTTCTTAGTCCTAAGCAGCTGATCGATTGTGTACTTTTGAAAGCTCATAAAAAGCGTTAGTGTAGCTTTTAAAGTTTTTTTTTTTTAAGTTTGTATATGTATGATCTATTAACTTTAAGAATTTAAAATAAAAAATACAAAACATTAACATAAAAATTTCGACTTTATGCCAAAAAATCGGCCGCTCGGACCATAGTGCACTGGGGGAAGAACATTTGGGAGAAGACTCCGGTTTTTCCGTCGGTTCTGCATATTAGCCCGATTTATGTCCTGCAATTAATCGCCGCTTAGATAAAGCCCTGCCAAAGGACACTGCCACTGGAAGTTGTTGCTTCTGCGTGTTTACGCTGCGTATGCGTAATGCGAGCGATACGTATGAGAGCAAATGTAATGGGGCCTCATTAGGGCTAATGTCGGCATAAATGTCCGAGAAAAAGTGCTCACATTTTTTGCACCGGTAGTGTTGCAAAAGATAAATCCTAAAAGTGTGGCCTTTTTATACAGGCTTTTATTAGTTGGAACGTTTTTATTCGCCACAGACACATTTGGATTTCCGTTCATTGGGAAACTGCAGTACATAAAGCAGACTCGTTTCCTCTGATTTTTAGTGCATGCATAAAAACGGATATAACGAAGCAGCAGATGATAAAGCCTTTCAAGTGGCCTGGAAAATGTCAAGTTTAAGTATCGAATTTTAAAAGCTCGCTGCATTGACCGTAAATTTAAAAATAGACAAGTACAAGTTCTTAATTAAGCAAATGGAGTAAAAATATTTTAGACACCGAAAAAAGAAACGCTCTAACAAAACCAATGACAGTCCCAATTTATTCCACAGTAACTCCAATGGATAAGATGTTCGCACTCAATTAAATTAATTTGTAAGCTTTCCTTGGGAACCCTTACCTTCTTGGAACTGACAATCCGCCAGTGCCCAAGTACAAGTGTCTATTTAATTAAAGGCCAATTGCAAATCCCAGCGACGACCCACAAACGACCCGATAAACGAGGCTACGCATAATTGTATGCTTTAATTTAAATAAATTTGCCTGACATGCCTATCCATCCATCCATCCGTCTATCTATCTGTCCCTGTCTGCCTCTCTCTTTCCGTTCTCCTCCGTTGTGGGCTGACATCCAAATTGATAGTCGTAGTCCTGGCCGAGAAGGTGAGCAGAGTGGCAAATGTCTATGCAAATCGCCGTCGACATGGAAAAATGATCGAAATCCTTGGTAAATCAAATTCCGATTGTGGAGCACGCCATGCTGGTTCCATCCTCCACTGCAATTGCCTTCGATGGCTACCCCAATCCCAGGTCCCAAAACCCAATGCCAGGTCGTAGGCTCGCAGGTTGTGCCAAGTGTTGCCAATTAGGTGGCTCTACCCACTGAGAACTCTCCTTCTCTTGTTGCCATACCCGTTCATACACCGCGAAAATGAAAGTTTTTAATATATATTTAACCTTACTTTTCATACGAATTTTCATACGAATTGAATCAAATTAAGCAGCTACAATTACAGTTTGTAAAGTTATGCTACATTTATAAAATTACCAATATTTTTAACGAAATGATACAATAATAAAATCTAATTTAAATTATATTGCCATTTAATATGAAATATGTAATTTTTCTTTTATTTTTATTTGAACATTTTGTTAAAATATATTTTAAATTTATTCTAAATTTAAATTTGTAACTCAATTGACGATTATCAAACTGATTGCATTTTAATGTAAATTAATTTGCTAATTGTCGTCTGTAATCGCCATTAAAAATGTTTTATTTATCCATTAAAGATACATCGTTTTAATTCACTGCTTAAATATTTATGATCTTTAAAGGAAGCTAGTAAATGGCTAAATGAAAAATGCTTGGAAGTAAGGACTGATGAAAAATTGTGCAGATATATATTCTTGTGTAGGTCGACTGCACTGAAAGGGCCCATCCCTTTCCACCCCCCACCCACCGGAAAACACCCACTCCGGGGGAGATGTAGTAAACGAAGGCTGCCGAGTGAAAATGGCCAGGAACGAATGAAGCGAGTGGCGAAAAAGTGAATGAGTTTACCTCCGGCTGCATTGTGTGCCTGTGTCTGTGTGTGTGATTCGCTGTCTGTGACACTGCGCACTCTCTCCGCTTTCTCTCACCCGCTCTCTCACTCTCTCTTCGTGTACTGTGTGTACTCTCGGCTGTGCATGTGTTGGTGCATTTGTTGCTGCTTTTCGGGGTGGCCCAAAGGATCATCGACACAAAACTGACCTAATTTCACAAATTCAAGCTAGGCGCAGGGCCGACAGCTCTTAGTGGGTCATAGGGGGTGGTGGGCGGTGGGTGTTTGGGCTGGGGCACCCTTTTGGCCACCCTTTGCCACCCCATCCCTTAGTTTTCGCTCGGCATGTCTTGAGTTGGGCTCAGCCGCTGAGGCCTAAGCAAAAACGCCAGTCACAACAAATTGCAGCCCTCCCGCTGGCATTGGGGCATTTGGGGTGGCAAATTCACTTCACCCCTTTACCCGTTTGCCCCCTCAACTCTGAACCCCACTCACATTCCTATTCACTTTCGACAAGCTGCTGAAGTTTAAATCGAAGGCAGCGAGTTCACAGAAAATACTGGAAAAATATTCTGTATTGGAAAATTTTTATTGGAGGAGAGGATTTTTCTTTATAAAATAAAAAGCATATATTTATTTATTTAAATTATTTTAAAATCTGCCAAATGCTATGCAGTTTTTCGTTTTTAATACTATTTTTATATTTTCAAATTTAGAACTTGAAATAAGTTAATTGTTTTTTTTTTAGTTTTAACTGTAGGATTAATATTTTAATATAAAATTAAAGTTCTTTAGAAACTCAAATGTATTTCATAAGCAAAACTGGGATTATAAATTGAACCTTTTTTAATTTTAAGGACTTGAAAAAACCTAGTTGGTTTCCCTGAGTAAGTTATGGCCATATACCTAGCTATTTTACTTTAGTCCCCCACATCCCTTATGTTGACATCTCTAACTTTAAACTTTTCTCTTTGTGTGGAGCACTGTGCGTGGGAGTTTGGAAGTTTGGCATATTTGCACATCGAACATTGCACGTTGCTGTCTGATAGTTTCCACAATTCTCCCCGAAACGAGTGGCGAGTGGGGAGGGATGGTCGCCGTGTTTTGCCATCAAACTGGATTATATGAAATCAAATTCGAGCCGTCAAAGACGACGTCGCAGTCGCAGTCGCTGTCGGCGTCGCAGTGGGCAGCGACGCAAACGGTGGCCATCGCCGCTGGCAGCGCCATTATCTAAGCACACCTTCAAGCCTCAGAATTGCAATGGAAGGTTGTTTGCATTCAAGGCTCTTTGCGGCTGGATGAATTGACCTAAATATTTCGCTTGGCAAACCTAATAGTCAGGGTTATACACACACAAACGAGTGTGTGCGAGTGTGTGTGTGTTAGTGGGGTGGGGGCACCTGTATTGGGTTGGGCCTGTACTATTTGTGGGTGGCTTTTCTGGGTGCCTTGTGGGTGGGGGCTGGCTCTTATTTATGTGTGTGCTTCGAAATCCAATAAAATGCGAAATGAATTGATTTCCCAGCTACGATGCCGCCTTGAGACGAAGGATATCCTTGCAACAGCCAAAGCAAAGGCAACAGCAACAGCAATTGTCCCAAATGGCGCTTTATGGCCATTGTTGTGGCATTTTATCAATGGGGGAATGGGAATCGTTATCATTACGGCCCTTTTAGATCCGCATCGCAAGCGGGCGCTAGGCGAATCTGTAAGTCACGTTGCCAGTTTGTTCATTAAGGGGGCCACGTGATTTGTGCCGGGCGAACGCGGCGTATGCGTAACGTCCTCCGTTCCCTTTCCCTTTTCCCCGATGAAGTCATTTTTCAACACTCTCTGCCCGCCGATTGTATTTTAATTTAGTCTCTACGTGCCGTCGGCAAATGGCATCTAACCTCTGACCTATCCACCTACGATCTGCAGCCTCTCAGCTCCAAGCTCCCGCAATCCCATATCTCACCTCGAGGTTCCCCTATTCCGATTCCGATTCCTATTCCCATCCAGAGTCCCACGCACATTGCTGGGCGAACTGGCTGTGGTATTCAATTTTCCGACGAGCTGCCACAGAAGTCGCCGCAGGACGTGACGCCGCGGTCATAATCATAACAATAACGCATTTGCCAGAAGTGTTATGTTATGCCTTCTGCACGGCCACTCCAATCCACGCCCACTCAAACTCCCACTCCAATCGAACCTGCGGATTTGTCACGCCTGATTATTTCATTAACTTTACGACCCAACTCCGTGGATGACAATGCCGCAACCGAAACGAATCCGCAATGCCCAGAATATTCCAATCCACTTTGCCTACACAGAGGAAAGAAATAATTCAAAATGTTGCTAGACAAAAGATATAGGTAAAATGTTTAAGTCCTCTAATATAATTTTAGATTTTATTTCTGGTTTCCAATAATTTAATATAATTTTATTTATTTTTATTTTTATTTTGTCATATTAAAGCTAGTATACAATACTAAAATTAATTTAGAGAAAATGGCACTGGAAACTGAAGTCCTTCAGCCAAATATAATTTTAGATTTTATTTCTGGTTAAGAAAACTTGATTAAATTATCTTATCTATTTGCAATAAAATATATTGCAATGAAAATTAAAATGGAATTCTTTATTTATAGCCAACATAAAATAAATGTTAAACTGTATTTAAATTCACATCCTAATATCTTTATCCATAAAGACCGGAAAGCAACCAAATAATATTTTTGCCTTGTTCACAACCGAAAAACAAAAGTTCGCTCAGTAAGGAGGGCAAGAGGGCAAAAAAAATAAAAGGCTTAGGGCTCACTTGACATTTTCTTAAGGGTGGGTGGGGGCCAACCGCATACCACCCACCGCCACCCTCAATCGAAGGCTGTCGATAAGCCCGAATATCGATTGGTATTATCTCCTGTAGTTGATCAATATTGAGCACCAGCTTACGCTTACAAATGGAGGCGTCTGTTTGCCATATGTTGCCATGTCAAACGCACTCGAAGTCGGATCAAACACCTTCTCATCCCTCTCACCTTGGCGCAAGAAGCTGGATGTTTGCACAGGAAACTGAGGAGTGTTTGGTTTCCCTTGAGGCCACAAATTGGTAATGCCACAAGGAGTTTCAGGGTCGCAGCGACACGCGAGTCAATTAAGGTTATTTCGGTACCTTCAATTATGTTTGTACAACACATTAATGAAGCCAAAAAGTTCGGCCATTAATTGGTATTCGGTTGGTTATGTATGACTGTGTTAAAAATAAAACAGCATTAACTACATAAATATACAAATGTGCTTTTCAAAAGTAAATAGCTTTGTTTGTTTAATGGAATTGTCAATAATATTTAAAGGTTCTCTTCTAAAAATAACAAATTCAAGTCCTTGACCTTTTCTTTTTTTTAGCTAATGTTATATCCCATATATATCACATAGTTAATAAGTTATTAATAATAACCTATTTATTATTCCCTTGGACAAAATTAAAGTTCATATTTTTTCTTTCTCAATAAAAACAACATTTAAAAGGTCGATTTTTATTTTAAAATAAAAATCCATTACAGAGAAGGTTAAATAAATTGAAACAGTGTTCAACGTTTTAATCTGTCAAAATGAATTCCCTGCATACTACAAAAACCATTGTTTGTTTGCGATTATCGAAATGCCACTTCACTCCGTTGAGCTCAGAATAATGTAAACTTGGTTAAGACACTTGACTGCCGAGTGCACTGATGCAAACTTTAATCCCAGACAAACCAGGCGAGTCACGTTTGCCTGTCCTAATAGAATTGCATACCCAATTAGATAGTTTATTCGCCGAAGGGATGTTGGGTGAACATCTATTTTTAAAAAGTTCTCCAGAGTGCGGGGTATGCTAATCCGGTTGCCCGCTTTATCACATGATGGAGCATTTCGGAACCGAATTTGAATTTAAATTGTTTTTAACCAACTTGAAAGCATAAAGTTGGCCAAGTCAAGAGCTTTCGCAGACAGCCGTATATCAAAGTTCACCCTTATCAGCATAACATCAAGTGAGTGGCCAAATACACTCGCATTAATGGCATCGGATCCAGTCTGTTGCACTTGCAGGTCTGCCCAAAAGCCATTTCAAATCGAAGGAATACGAATAAAACCGAAAAACCCATTCGAGCCGCTGTCCTGAGTACACACAGTTGATTGTTTGCCTGTCTGTCTGACGTCTTGTGTTGTCTTCCCTTGTCTTGGCCACATAGCACACATGATCTCCCGGCCAGAACCTGTCCAAACCCAAGTCCAAACCCAAAAGCAAAACCCCGGCGAGTTCACTTGCACAAAGCGCCAATAATATTTATATTTTTATGTGCCAAATCATATTAAAGTTAGCTTTTATTGGGCTGCCCCGGCGCATGGCGTACGGTGCGTATGCATAATAAAAAGCGACAACAAATCGAGATAAGACAGGCGAACGAGACAGGAAATTAGAAGCGCCACAACTCAGGAGGCGTCTCCGTTCTCGCCGAGCATTGAACTCCGTGAACTCCAACTGCTAACTGCTAATGATGTGTGGGCCGCACTTGCACTTGTTTAATTGCCATTCGATATGTCATGCCCCGGGGCGTCATCAACCTTGGCCAAGTTCGCCTTCGACTACTCCCCCTCTGCATTCATGTGTGCTTTATAACCTTTTGTGTCTGAGTGAGTTATGCCTCTTAGCATAAAATTCATAACGCACAACTATGCGCAAGTACGGCCCGTGTCTTCCATTTTCCATCTACCATGTACCATCTTCCATCAAATGGAATAAAAGGAATACAAATTAACTTAGGCAGTCCTGCGGTTCGCCATGGTCTGGCTGTGGCTCTGGGTCTGGGCAAACAATGCTCCCAGTGGCGCTAGCATACCACCCAGTCCATCAACTACTCCCCGACCAATGCCTGGGCGCAATCTGAGACTTGTCACCAAATTATGAATGATATGCAGCACATAAATCTCAGTCAGCAAACAACGACGGGAACGTGGGCGGCGGCGATGGCGATGGCGATGACAAGAAGCATTGAACGTTAACCAGGACCGAGCACAACTCGAACCCAACTGTTCGTGACTATCACTGCACTCAGAGAAAATCTAGGATACATATATATATATCCCCTTAATTTATAAGCCCTATTGGCCAGTGGCTCAGTTTTTAAAAAAATTTATTTGATTAAGTAGATAAATGAAGAATAGATTGGAAAAAGAATTTTAACCTCTGGTTAAGTGTCGGTTTATATTAAAAAATTCAACAATGAGTAGTTAGAAAATGTATCCCTAGAGGCTTAAGAGAAAACTACAATCTGTTTTAATTTACAGAGCTACAACTATTTCCCCCAGTGCATGACTAGGGCAACAAGGACGATGTGACCGAAAGTTACTCAGCATAATTTTTGCATTGTTTATGACCAATATTTACCCATTTCTCTCTCCCTCTCGCTTTTTTATGTTTCGCGAACTGAACAATTTGTGTGCTTCTGTAGCCTGGATGCTCGGATGGCTGATGTGCAAGTTTGTGCCCTACATACAGGGTGTCTCCGTGGCAGCCTCGGTTTACAGCTTAATTGCCGTTTCCCTGGACAGGTGAGTTCAAAAACCAAACAAAACACGCGCTCCAATTACGTGGCTATAAACTTTTATTGTGGGATCGGTTGTGGGGTCAGGTGGGGGGAACGGGATCGGGATTGGGATGGGAATCGGGAACGCTACTCTGTATCCACTGCACTTAATGATGCACAACGAGAGCGGGGGCGGCATGATGCACTGGGACCAGAGGAACCACCGGCCTGACAGCATGCACCGCCACCACGGGCTTGTGGACGACGGGGGTGATGACCTTGACGGCGGCCGGATGATGAACAACGTGGCTGCGGCGGGGGAAAGGGGTGAATAGAAAGTAAAGTTATGGGGTAAGTGCTGGGAGCGATAAGCAGATGGCAAATGAATGGCCTTACGAGTGCACCGAGTGGGCGCCGTGATGGATGATGGGCGTGTGGACTACCGCCGGGTGGGCCACCACGGGAGCCACCACCACTCCGGGATGGGCGTACGCCTGGGCGGCGGCGAAGGCGGCGAGCACGAACAGCTGCGGCGGATCAAAGTTCGCGGATTAGCTTGATTGGCGGCATTAGCATTAGCTGGAGCAGCAGGTGGCTGCCACTCCGTGGAATATATTTATTGGTGATAGATGACATGACTTTAAGCCACTAATAAAATTGTCTGAGAGGATTCTATTTTTACATTTATCTATTTTGAACTTAAAATATCCTTTAAAGTTAAAAAAAAATCAATTCATGACAGTACAAATTTTCAATAAGAAAGAAATATAACTTAAAACCATTTAATTTTAACATTTAAATATTAATTTTAATTTAGTTAAAGCTCTTGAAAATAAAAAAAGGAATGACTGAAACAAATTAATCTTCCTTTTTATTCATTTGAACAATTAAAAAAAATGGCATTTGTTTTTAAGAATATTTATTAAGAACTGTTTTTGTTTTTATGGCTCTAGAGCCCTTAAAATCCGGTATTTATTTATATTTTCCTCTGCTTTGATACTCACAACTTTGAACATTTTGTAGGTGGTGTGGTTTTTTTTTGGCGGGATAACTGAGGTTGGAGTTTGGCTAATGACTTGTAATTGTCAACTGGTGACAAGTGGAGCTCTGAGCTCAGCTTTTATAGGGGATTTGCGCCAGGTGACCGAGCCGAAAGTGAGCGCCACTCAATGCAATCAGCTGCGGGGAAAACTGGTCAGATCGGCCAGTTAGGCAGTTGGCTAGATAACTAGGCAGTTATGTAGGAGAGTCAGTGGAGCAGTCGTCTCAAGATCAAGTTCATCATATGCCTCTATGGCTCACCTTGTCCGTATTAGGCGCTGCCTGCAATCAATTTCATGTTTCTCGTTTTTTGTGAATTTTTTGCCTTAGAATGTTGTTTGCCGCGATAGCGATACCATTGATGAACGGCCGCCAGGAATCGGAGAGTGCCAGCCCTGCGTTTCCTGCCCCATAAAGTATGGAAAAGCGATAGAGATAAAGCGATGGGACCATAAAGTGGGCAACTGATTTATCAAGTTATACCGAAACGACGCCCTGACGTGTGCCTGTCATAACCCCAAGGACAATAAGAGATGCCAGCCGCCCGTCGCTTTATGTGCACTTTCATTTATATCAATTTCTGGCCACTACTTAGCGGAGGATGAGGAGTTGTGGCCAGCGGCACTGATTCAGCTTCTGTTTTTGCCATCCATTCATTTTTCAGCCAGCGGGGACAAAGGCGTAGCACATCATTTGATCGTTTGGTCACCCACAGGCAACTGCCCGCATGTCAGCCACCGCCCACGCTTAATCCGCAGCCCATCGAGGAGCAAGTCCAAGTCCAAGTCCAAGTCCTGCTCCATTGACGTCCGTTTATCCAGTTGTTTTGCCCGCGTTCGCTGTTGCTTTGTGCTTTTACGAGCCATCGTAAACGGAATCGAAATTTAAGATTTATTATCTGTAACACGAAACTTAAATCTCTCCTCGGACTTACTGCTTTGATGGGTAGAAGTGGATGTTGTGCCACTAATACTCCTCTGACTTAGCTTATCCCTATACTTATACTTTTGCCAATGCCATTTAATTAGGGTCGTTTCTTTCCATATAAGTAGATTGTGTATAATCATAAAGTCCACATATATCAGCGCACTCGCTGCTAAACATAGTTGTGACTTTATGGCCCTGGCATTGCGGCTTTTGTGTGTTTTTTGTGCGCAAATGTCAACAGTGCGTATGGGTAACCGCAGAAGGAACCGGAATAAGCGCCATAAAACCACGTGGATCTAAGGATGAGCAAGGGTTTGTGGGGAAAATATCCAATTATTAAATTTTCCGCCTCTTGAAAGCTTTAAAAGTATAAAATACTTTTGTGGGATGTCCTGGGGAAAAGTGCTTAGCAGTCATGTATTCATGGATGACTTCGCCAAGAAAGTGTAAGCAATACCATATTTTGCTTAATAAATTTGCCAACGTCCGTGAAATGTCGTCGCATAGAGATTTACGCATACGGTACTCAGCGAAATTAATGAGCAACTATTACCTTGAATTTCGGTATAATTCTTTAAATTTTATTATGAAAAACAAATCTTTCTTTAATGGTTTAAAATGGTTTATACTTTGGTCAAGGATCATAATCAGTAAGAGAAAGCCATTTTGAACTACAGAAAATGAATCGTTTAGCAATTTGCTTTAATTATGTTTTTAAATTTGAAAAATATTCGCAGAGCTTTAGCAAGTCCCATTAGACTGCACTTATTAATTTTTGCGAGTGCACTGTCTACCCAAAGAACTCAATTAAGCTCTCGCCTGATTTATGAGCATACAATTCGCAAGAACCGAATTATGCTAATGCAATTGGTTTGCTCCTATAAATAAACGTTATGACAATTTGATTATTGGCTCTGCGGACAGCTTTGTTTGCCCCTCCTTAGCATATATACCGAGATGAGGGTCCGAGGACCACATTGTTTAGCTGGCTATTTTTAGGCGGGTGGAATACGAATAGGAGCAATAGGATTCTGGGGTGGTGGCCGCCCTCTAATGGAATTACCGCCGTGTTATCTGCCCAATGTTTTTTTTTTTCGGCGGACAGACGCAGGCGGCGACGACCCAAGTCCAAAATACGAGCACAATGCACGTAATTACATGGTTTTGGCCAGGAGCACCCAGACAAGCAACCCAGCTCCCAGCTCGTCCTGTGGGGGACCAAGTCTTGTCTATGGCCATTCAGCGGGCGCCACAATGAGCCGGCTGCACTAAGCTAAATGAAAAATGCTGAACTCGTTGCTGGCCCCATACCGACTCGTCTCGCTACCTCGCAGCAAGCAGGCAGCTCTTATTCAAATTACAATTCATTATGGCGAGCAGAATAAAAAATGACACCCCTGCCCCAAAGTCAGGAAAAGGTGGGGGTATTTTGGGGGATGGACCCTGCTCCGTGGCGGGTTCAATAGTCGAGATTGGAAAGCGAACACTCAGCAGAAAAAGGCTTAAGGATGCCATCCTGCGTGTGCGAATTAATCAGCGGAGATATTTGCATGCCGAGCTCTCCTAGCTCCTTGCTGAAACGGTGTCGTCATCGTCATCGTCGCCTCGACTCGACTCGACAGCTTGATGATTGCCATTATCCTTGACGGCTCAGCGCCGTCAGCGGCATCTGGAGCTCCTGTCTTGACTATCTTTGTTGGAATTCCGACTCCCCCATTGCAGGTTCATTGCCATCTGGTGGCCCCTGAAGCAGATGACAAAGAGACGTGCCCGCATCATGATAATTGGCATATGGGTAATCGCCCTGGTGACCACCATTCCGTGGCTGCTCTTCTTCGACCTGGTGCCCGCCGAGGAGGTCTTCTCGGATGCCCTCGTTTCGGCCTACTCGCAGCCGCAGTTCCTCTGCCAGGAGGTCTGGCCCCCGGGCACCGATGGCAACCTGTACTTCCTGCTGGCCAACCTGGTGGCCTGCTACCTGCTGCCCATGTCGCTGATAACTCTGTGCTACGTGCTCATCTGGATCAAGGTCTCCACGCGGTCGATTCCCGGCGAGTCGAAGGACGCCCAAATGGACCGGATGCAGCAGAAGAGCAAGGTCAAGGTCATAAAGATGCTGGTGGCCGTGGTCATCTTGTTTGTCCTGTCCTGGCTGCCGCTCTACGTCATCTTCGCGCGGATCAAGTTCGGCTCGGACATCTCGCAGGAGGAGTTCGAGATCCTCAAGAAGGTGATGCCGGTGGCCCAGTGGCTGGGCTCCTCGAACAGCTGCATCAACCCCATCCTCTACTCGGTGAACAAGAAGTACCGCCGCGGGTTCGCCGCCATCATCAAGTCGCGCAGCTGCTGCGGACGCCTCAGGTGAGTCAGAGATTGGATAAGATTGCCTACAATAAATTGAAAAATATATATTAATTACAAATAAATATAAACAAATATAGGTAGGTATATATAAGATCTATTTAATTACTAACCAAAAACATTTCTCCGATTTTGTTTATTAATATAATAATTTACTTTTTCTTAAAGTAGTCGATGTAGGACAAGTTCATTTTTTATAATAAAGATGATTAGCCTAATTTGATAATAAGTATTAAAATTATTATGAACAGATAAGACTAGTTAGGTTTAATTAGTATATAGTCTTAGTTCGAACTAATATTGTCATACCGTTTTGAGTTCGAAACTAAAAGATACACTTTTTGACGACTTTTAAAAAAAATCCTTTTTGTTTTAATCTAGCCGAAAGGTATGATTGGTAGCTTAGATATTAGCTGGTATTTTGGCTGGGGTTCCTAATTAAAAACAATTACGACAAAAAAACAAAAAATATTAGATATTGTAACATTATATTTTTAAATCTTTTATTTTTAATAATGTTTTTAAATATTTCAAATATCTGCCATGTTTTCTACTCTACCACCCAGGTACTACGACAACGTGGCCATCGCCTCCAGCACGACCAGCACCCGGAAGTCGTCGCACTACCACCAGAACAGCTCGCGGAAGAGTCCGAGCAGCAAGGGCAACGCGGTGTCCTACATCTACGAGCACAACTCGCTGCGGCGCCACAACATGATGCTCAAGCAGGACAGCAACCTGTCGCAGCAGATGCTGCTCAAGCAGGACTCGCACGGCTCGCGCCAGTTCCTCATCAAGCAGGAGAGCTCCTGCAGCGACGCCTCCGGGATCCGGCGACCCCTCTGCCAGCAGGACAGCAACGGCTCCAAGGTCTCGCTGTCCAAGCAGGACTCGATCGTGTCCTACATGGAGGCGCGTCGGGCGGCGGGACATGGGCTAAACGACACTCCCGCCGACAGGGACAGTGTCTCCATGGACATTGCCCGTCGTCCAGGAGCTACTCCAAGCTCCCTGCTGGACAAGCGGCAGAAGTTCGTGAAGCAGGACTCGGTGATCTCGTTCGTGGACCAGCGACCGGAGCAACGACGACATCAGCTGGTCAAGCAGGACTCGGTCATCTCCTTCGCCGACCAGCGACGCGGTCTGCTCCACAAACAGGACTCGCTGATGGCCAACCGGACGGGTGATGCACCCACCCACCACGTCTCCATTCTAAAGAAGACCGACTCGCAGCTCAGCTACGGCAGTTCCACGTCTCCGCGCAGGAATGCGGATCTCTACGAATAGGCGACTCCTAAGTCTGGTGGGTCGATTTTTGTTGAGCCAGCAAGGATACAAAGCTGGGGGTTTAATGTAATCCACAATTACAATATAATTTAAATTTTTTTGCTCTAATACTTCTGTGGATGACAAAGCCCCCAAAAATCGACCCACCCTAGCACACAAAATAACGCAACGATACCAAAAACATACCGAACCACAAAGAGAAATCCTTGTATATTTCTAAGGAAGCTAAGTAGCCAGAAATGGATCGAGTGAATGAATGGGAGTAGAGTGATAGGGCCTACGACTGTGATACAAGTCGGCAGTGCTGGTGGGTTCAGAACTTGGACTTGGTCAGTGCCGCACATATCCGTCATCGTCGTTGGGATAGGATATTGGATATAGTATAGTATTGGACGGACATCGGGATGGACCAATTGGGGTGGGTATACCTAATCAGAGATCGCTTAGCTAGAAACCAACACGCGACACAGGACACGGGAAACAGGACTACACACCACAATCACACACCGCAGAGAACCGGAAACCGAAAACCGAAAATAGACACTCCCCACAGACCTAATAGTTAATAGATGTTTTATACGTGTTTCAGAGGTACTACACAAGATATGAACTACTCCTTGGCTATGGCTATATAATACCTACATATATGTACCGTTACGCAGTTTTAAGATTGTTTGTACTCGCAATTTGCTATATCGAAAAGTTTGGTTAAGAGTGGGTGGAAAAATGGGAAAAACGTGGGAAAAACGAAGGGGTTAAAATAGCTTTGCTAAACTTTTTGTACGAACGGCGAACGTGAGTGAAACGGGCAAGTCCAGTATCATAGTTGAGAAACGAAAACGAAAATGAAGATGAATACAAAACAAAATGAGATAACACCGAGGTCTAAAGTAACGTACCTACTAAATTTTTGTATGGAAATTCTTACAATTTATACATATATATTTATATTGATTTTGGAGTAAGCAATATGCAATACAAGCGTATTTCTGCGCGTACGCCGTGTATATCTATCGAACAACAATAATCAATTTTATTAGAATTTTACACAACCGAGTCGCGGCAGCGGAAATGGCACAGCAGCGGAAAATCGAAAATGGAAAATGGAAAATGGTTAGTAAACGCAATACAACGGTTGGGGGCGAATGATTGGCACAACATCATAGCTTAGAATCGCCGATTAATTCGATTAAATCGATTTCGATCGATCGGCAGAGGTAGCAATAGCGATAGTGATGGCATCGAACGCGCACAAAGTAGCACTTGACCATGCTGGGACAGAGTCGACGGGATGGGGTAGCTTAGGGATTAGGGCTAGGGCTAGGGCTAGATTAGGATTAGCAGGACGAAGGAGGAGAAGTTGGTTGTCCGCTAAGTGAGCACAAAGCAGTCAAAGATTTCGCACTAAACGTATCACTACAAACTAACAAAGAAGCAAACAATAATCGAACTCAAATTCGTTAAACACTAAACACCAATGAACTTTAAACTATATGAAATAAAATTTTAACGGATAACGGAAGGAGGCGGAATCAATGGTAAAACTATGAAACTAAACGTAAAGATTAACTATGCAATTTTATTGTTAGCCAAAATTTTATAAATGTCAAGTAACGAACAAGTAAATATTTATATGTATACAGAATATATCAAGTATAAAGCATACGTTATATATCTTTATATACTTCGATGGCATTAGGCGCTGATTAGAAGAGTTTTGGCCAGCTTCGATCCGAATCGATCAGCGATTTAGTCAAGCCGTATTCCTCTCGGTCTCCATCGTTCAAACTTGGGGAGCTTTGAGCCCAATCCAAGAATCGAAGGACTCGCACGGCCTGTTCAAAACTCCAGCGCTTAATGCAAGGCAAGAATCTACAATGAGGAATATCAATAATATATTTCAAATATACATACATATATTTATATAGGCCTAGCGACTCATAAGCCAGCGGTATTGGTATTGGCAAGCAACCGCAACCACGAAACCGAACAACAACGTCTAGTAAACAAGAGATTACATTTATACGAATACATATTATATGCTGCAAGTATGTAAAAGCGCGCAATAGAAATGTCCTTTCCCGCTTTCGATTCCACTTAAAGAAGAACCCGAAAGTAGCGAGCAGGCCGATTTAAGCAAAAGTAATACTTATTGAATAAACCAAATTGAACTTTAGGTTTTAAAGTTTTAAAACGTAGAGCATACCCATACTCACATGCATGAGCATTATTAAATAAAAACGAGATCGCGCGTTAACCAGTTAAAGAGAAAGCATGACATTAATGGCAACACAATATTATATATGTAAATATATGTGTTTATGCATACATATATATGTATATTTATCGCATAGAACTAACACCAAAGATACATGCATGTTAGCAGAAATAATAAATAAATAAATAAATTATAATTAAACCAAAGTGGTATTCTTTTATATGGCAGTTTTTGTTTGGGAAATTGTTAAATTAATTTAAACGATTTCCAAATTTTAGACTACCTTTGTAGCATGTTTTAAAGTGTTTAAATAAATATATTAAAGCTTACATTGGGCATAAAAAATATAGAACACTTTTGGGCAAATCATTTTTAAGAGCGAAATATTTAAATTGGGTTATTATAAATGGTAGATACAATTACAATGCTAAGGGCCTAAATATAAAGAGAACTGGAAATATCATTTAAGTAAATAAATAACTCTTTTGGCTTACTTTTTTTTGCAAGTCATAAAAGGGTATCTTATCGATTCAGGTTTTTAAAATCCCAATCTATTACATTTTCAAAGGTTATCTTTGCTCAAACTTATCATGCAAAAGCTCAGCACACTGATAGCCAATGATTTAAATTGATGTAGGCTAGAAGTTTCTTTAGATTGGAATCAATTTCCACTGGGCAGGCAATTAGAACAGACTTGCCATGAATCGCTGGTTGAATCGCGTTGCCGTCGTCACAGGCGCTAGTGCTGGAATCGGAGAAGCCTGCTGCCGGGATCTGGTGGCCAAGGGAATGGTAGTGGTGGGCCTGGCCCGCCGGGAGAAGGTTCTCCAAGACATCAAATCCTCCCTGCCCGCCGACCAGGCTGCCCGGTTCCACACCCGCCCCTGTGATGTCAGCAACGAGCAGCAGGTCAAGGAGACCTTCGCTTGGATCGACCGGACTTTGGGTGGTGCCGATGTGCTTATCAACAATGCCGGGATAGTGCGGAAGATCAACCTCACGGATGAGGGGAACTCGGACGATGTGCGGGCCATTCTGGACGTCAATGTGCTGGGAGTGACCTGGTGCACCCGCCAGATGTTCCAATCGCTGCAGCGCCGCAAGGTGAACGATGGCCATGTGGTGATCATCAACAGCGTGGTGGGTCACATAGTGCCCGCAGTGGAGGACTTCAGCCTGAACATGTATGCGCCCTCCAAGCATGCCATCACCGCGCTAACCGAGATCCTGCGACAGGAGTTCAACAAGAAGGGCACCAAGACCAAGATTACGGTGAGTCAAGCTTCCTAAATAGGCTCACCTACTAGTTACCTACTTATTTCCCTTTCCAGAGCGTCAGCCCCGGCGTTGTGGACACGGAAATCTTCGAAGCGGGCTCTTGGGATCAGCCCAGTGGCATGCCCATGCTGCGATCCGCGGATATAGCCGATGCAGTGACCTATTGCATCCAAACGCCCCCGAATGTCCAGATACATGAGCTCATTATCAAGCCTGTTGGTGAGGCCTTTTGAAGTGACCACTCCGATAAGAAGGCCAAGTGTCCACTTCAAACTGAACAAATAAACAAATTTAATTAGTTGCAAAAGTTGACAGACTAAAAATAAAACTGCTGACTAATGACAATAATAAATATGCCCTTTATTTAAACTTATCGCTTAAGCTTGCTTGTAAAGAGGGTTTTCTGAAATCATATTCGATTCCCCTGAAATAAAATTGTGAAAAAAGGAACGTATTTAATTTAAAATTGTTCTCAAAAAGCTTTTAGGCTGCTGATAAATCAGCTTATGACATTGTATCTTTTATTTATGCAAGTCATTTTCTGGGTGCAGCTTATCGATGTGTGTGGCGGCAGAGATCGAGCAGAACGCCCGCTGAATGCAAAGCTACAGACCGCTGATATAAATGCATTTACATACACATAAGGAAAGCAATGAGCTTAAACAATCGCATTGAATGTAAATGAGATCATTGTACAAATAGCCTGCAATTCATCCAGACCTCTCGCCATGAACCGCTGGCTGAATCGCGTTGCCGTCGTCACAGGTGCCAGTTCTGGAATCGGAGCGGCCTGCTGCCGGGATCTGGTGGCCAAGGGAATGGTAGTGGTGGGCCTGGCCAGAAGGGAGCAGCGTCTCCAGGAGCTCAAGGCAGGTCTGCCCGCCGATCAGGCGTCCCGGTTCCACAGCCGCCCTTGTGATGTCAGCAATGAGGAACAGGTTAAGGAGACCTTCGCTTGGATCGATCAAACTTTAGGTGGGGCCGATGTGCTTATCAATAATGCCGGAATAGTGCGAAATACCCAAATTACGGACGAAGGGAACTCTGAGGACTTGCGGGCCATTCTGGAGACCAATGTACTGGGCGTGACCTGGTGCACTCGGCAGATGTTTCAGTCCCTGCAGCGTCGCAAGGTGAACGATGGTCATGTGGTGATCATCAACAGCGTGGTGGGTCACCAAGTGCCCATGATGGAGGGAGTTAACTTTAACATGTACGCGCCATCCAAGCACGCGATCACCGCCTTAACCGAGGTCCTGCGTCAGGAGTTTATCAAAAAAGGCACAAAGCACAAGATAACTGTGGGTAAACATGCCTCAAAACGTGTTGTTTTTAATGATTCACTTTTTCAGAGCATCAGCCCCGGCGTTGTTGATACGGAAATCTTCGAAGCTGGCTCATGGGATCTACCGAGTGCTATGCCCATGTTGAGGTCGGAAGATATCGCCGATGCGGTCTCATATTGCATCCAAACGCCCCCGAATGTGCAGATACATGAGCTCACTATCAAGCCTGTTGGCGAACTCATATGAAGAGCCTTCTGTATCTCGATACGGAAATGAATATGCTCACTCCGCATAAAACAAATAAACTTTCTAATTGAGTCAAACACTATAGAAGGTGCTTCAAAAAGATATTGAGCAAAATATAAAGTTTTAATCTTCCAACTTTTGCAATAACATTTTGGTTTCCAGCAAACATTTCTTTTCTAATATTTGAATTTTACATGAGTTTGAGTGATTTTTAAGGAATCTTCAAATCCCTTACCCAATATCTAAAACTCGTCATCTTCTTTTTCGTCCGTATAACTAAAGGCTTGAGAGTTTTCGGTATAACGCCTTCTTTGAGGATAAAATTCAACACAATAACCGCTGTCGAAGGTATTGTATGAATAGGAGACGTTTAAATATACCTCATCAATAGCGTCCACCTATAAGAAGAAACAATTTTATAAGGCGATTGTGTCATAAATATTATTACTCACATGAAAGTCCGGGAAAGGAGAGTGTTCAATTAGACAAAGGTTTAAAGGTTCTTGACGAGCAGGATCCCTTATCGATTTCAGAATTTCGTTAATTTTGCTAACAAGGTTTGTAGCCAATAATTCTCCTTCCATGGTGACGCACTCGAGCTTTTGACAGGACTGAATAATCGGCAACACGCTTTCAATATTATTTCTCTCCCAAAACGAACGAACTATGCAAAATGTTTTAAGTTCTAGTAGTTTGCCTATATCTGGTAATATATCACATTCCATTTCGCACGAAATGTTTAAATTTAATAACGATTTAATTCGTGATATTTCACGGATCTCTTCAGAACACAAACTGGTTAATGCGTGCAGTTCTTGTAGCGTTGACTCACTTTTAAGAGCAAAACGACGGTAAAGTTCATTAAGACGACCTTCAGCTCCGTCGATAATTAGTACTTTCAGTGTTTTTATATTTGCCAAAATTTCTATGCCCGGTTCATTTCGCAACGAGCATTTTAAGGACTCCAGTTTTTCAAGCTCAACAAAATATTTACATTCAGTAAACCCGATACAGAAATTAAATTCTAATTTTTGAAGATTCGATGGCAATGATTTGAGTGTCACTTCATTCAATGAGTTTATACAAAAACGCACTTCATCCTTGTAAAATTGGTCAACAGCTAGGTGATTTAGGTTTGGAAACTTTTTCAGGATTGGCGCACATTCCAAATTAAAATTTTGTACACGCAAACTATGTAGATTTTTTAGTTCATCAATGTCAGGCATTCGTGGTAAGTCCAATTTGTTCACTTGAAGATGCTGAAGCCTAGTACCGTTTAAAGAAAACGCAGAAATGAATTCTTTCAGAGGGTGTCTCTCAGAGTCAAAAATGAATTCTTTAATACTCGACTCAGCTAGATCTAAATAGGATTGAAAGTTTAGCATGTCGGAAGTTCGGCACTCCAGCTTTTTTAGTGACCTTATTCGGGAAACCTGGTAAGCCTCGTCGGGATAGAGTTGCCCACAAGAAATGTATTGAATTTTATTAGTTTCAGCCAGTTTTTCAAAAAGAGGAACATGGCTTCCATATCCGACAATTTCCAACTCTTCAAGATTAATTAGTTCAGCCAATTTTTCAATACCAGCTGTGTTGGACATGGAGCATTTTAGATCCTTAATGCTTTGAATTTCAGAAACTTTGGAAATATCTTTAAAATCGTAACGCCTTGAAGAAAAATGTTCCGTCTGGTATGTTAATTCTGAGATATCCAATGCTTGAATTCTACATAATTTGCTGCTGGCAAAAGCTTCAAAGAAAGGATTAAGAGATGCTAAATCCACATTTCCTGAAATTTGCAGGGTGTTTATGCTATTAAGTTGAGCCAGGAAATTCAAAATATCGGCACGAACATTCTCTTTAAATTCAATTTGAAGGCTTTTTTCGATCTTATTCAGGGTCATACTGAATCTATGGCACATTATGGTGGCTTGTACCTTACATGCAGTTAGCAAATCAAAGACTAACTTGGAATTGAAGCAATCGATGGAATCGCGGACATTGATCGCCAGGTGTTGGAGGTTAGTTAATTGACTTAAATGCTTAATTGAGCTCCATTTTCTGATATGGCACGCCAGATACCGAATTGATTCTATTTTCGCTAACTCCATTGTCTCCAATTCATCTATAGAACCATAGTGAATTCTGAAGGATTTTAAAGAAGTGGGTCCTTTCAGGGCCATTGATTGAAGGAATTTGGCAATAGCTTCGGGATAATTCGACCCCGTACATCTTTTAAATATAACCAAGCGACTCAGTCTGGGCAGATTTGATAAAGAACTCAATTGACTAATGTCCGAATCGTAATGTAGCTTGAATTCCAGTTCTTCCGTATATCTGTCGAATCTTATTCTGACCTCGTCAACTTCAGGTATTGCTACGAGAGATTCCTCTATTAAACTTTTGTCTTCTGATATTTCATGTACATCGTATGCGGCTTTTATAAACTCATTTTCGTAATGCGAAAAATGTTTTTCGAAATATCGTAGTGAGTCAAGAGCATGAAAAGTAATGGACCGATTTTTATCGCGATTCTCTTTTAAAGGATCTTCGATGGTCAGCATCAATGGTGGTAGACTTCTAGGTCTGTGCCATTTCCTTAAATCTTTAAAAAAAAGCATTTGCACACCGCTTTCTTGAATTCCAGTAATAATAAGGTTTTTTAAATTTGGCAACTTTACTAGCGGTGCATATTGGGCAGCTCCTCCTTCCGCGTTGAACGTAAGTTTTAGTTCCTCAAGATTTTTGCAATGCGGTACGATAGTTGAAAAACTCCCATCAATTTCATTGCCTTCGAAGAACAACTTTGTCAAATTTGGGAGCGAGATACAGATGTCAGATAAAGCGTCTGCAGTTATTTTAACGTCTAAGTCTAATGCCTCGCTGTTTGTTAGGTTTTCCGAGATGTCTAAAAATATAAAAAAAAAAATCAGTCTAAACTTTTCTGTAGAAAACTGAAATAGATCGGTAAAAAATTTAAAAATTTTAAAAATGAAGATCAGATTTGATCACGACTTACCTTTAAAGCTTATGTTTACATATGCTAAATCGATTCCGTCTTTAAGGTGTTCAAAAGCCAATTCAACAGTGAACGGATTTTTTTCTCTGACAGATTGCAGATAAGAGCCCCACAACCATTTATTTTGTTTGTTTGATAACTTATTGATGCATAGATCTATCAGCTGCTTTGTGATTCTGCATGCAAGAACCAACTCCAGTTCTTCGTACAAACGTTTATGGTGGACCGCAAACAACTCCAGGATAAATTCATGGGCCAGCACAAAGTTTAATAAGTCATTATACCTCCAAATACCCATTACGATGCTCGGGTTTTTCATGTTGCAATCAGCAATTACGTAGTTTAAAATCTCCAAGAGGCAGTCGGGGTTGAGAATAAATTGGCCGTTCTCGTCCATTTCGTAAACTGATCAATTAGTCACCAATGTCCAAATCAAGCTATTTGAGTCCAGCAGATGCTAATTTCAAATAAAAAACGAGGTAGAATTGAATAATCAATGAATATCAACGAAACACAAATTTAGGCTTAATAATAAAAATTTATATTAAATATTTTATGGCTATTTTTGTTCTGTTTTTTGGAAATTCTAAGAATACACACCGGTTATTTGATAAAAAAAAGGTTTAGTTTAAACCTAGTTTATATATCAAAACACGCAATTTCAAAATTTAATGACAAACTTCTCTTGTTCTTTTAGAAGAAAACATGTGCTCGTAAATTTTTAAGAAATCAAGGGAACTTCATCTCTGAGCAGATGGTTTTATGGTGAAGTTTATTTATTTGAAATCTATTTAGTTCTTTTGTTTACCTTATTCGATTTCGAGATGGGTGCTTACTGATCGGGAGTTTTAGGGATGAGATTTACTTTGTGGGAAATAATGTGTGGTGCATTGAGATTGCTGACTATGGAATTTAGCCAACCAAAATTCAAAATAAACACACGGAATACCCCAAACACAAAAGGTATCGATTGTCCTCAACTATCGATTGCAGACAATACATCTATCGATACTGGATTCCGCACACTAGCCAGCAGTTTGTAGTTCGTGTCGGGATTGTTTTTTAGTTTAATATTTCTCAATTCTTACACCGTTAATTGCCCAATTGGTCAACACTTCCAAATTGCAATAAATTCAGTAGAGCCATATTTCACGGTTTTCACCGCCGTCGCGTTTCCTTGCCCCTTGAAAGCTAATTGAATTACCCACGCACACAATCGCAGCCATCGCATCGACGTCATAAGCTATTTCCGTCGATAATAGGCTCCAAAGATCCAGAACATGGACCCCAAACAACAGGCCCAGGAGGAGGTGGTGGCCCCCGTGGCCCCGCTGCTGGAGGATCAGCTGGAGCTGGACATGAAGCACTGCTTCGAGAACCTGATTGTGATCGACGTGGGTGCGAATCTGACCAACAAGAAGTATAGCCGTGATCTGGATTCCGTGGTGCAGAGAGCCAGAGACGCAGGTTCGTGCAGCAGACTCAATATATACGATATGCGCATTATTAATGAGACCCGGGCAGTGTCTTCGTTTTGGGGCGAGGCTGCGAAAACACCCCAGACAGCCAGAAGGTCAGGCGATAAGTGAGCAACAAGTGTGCTAATGTTTTGAAATACCCTTACCCTTGCAGAGGGTATAGTGAACTGAGTATGGAGTTGGTATGACTAGCATTTGGTATATAATCAGCATTTCAGTTGTATAAATAGCTCAGTATGGGTTAAAACTGGTTTTGAAAACCATAACGTATACTTAGGATCAAGAATCCATTGATCGTATATATAACACTATTATAACTCCGCCTATTTTAGTTAAATTTGGTACCCAGAAATACACTTTTATTTTAAATATTTAATTAAAGACTTTTATAGGGTACCCAAGTTTCACCTTCTCTTTATCTCCTGTATGTGGCACACTGCAAGATGCACTAACTTTCTCCCGCCTTCTCGTTTCAGGTGTTCAGAAACTAATGGTTCACGGCACTTCGGTCAAATCGAGCAAGGAAGCGCTGCGCCTCTCGCGCATCTATCCCGACATAATCTACTCAACTGCTGGCATTCATCCGCACGACTCCAAGTCCATCGTGGAGGAGCCGGCCACATGGTTCGACCTGGAGCACATCGCCCAGGCACAGGAGTGCGTGGCGATCGGGCCCTGCGGCCTGGACTACCAGCGGGACTTCTCCGAGCCGGACGCCCAGAAGCAGATCTTCGCCAAGCAGCTGCACCTGGCCGTCCGGCTGAACAAACCTCTGTTGATCCACGAGCGGTCGGCTCAGCACGATTTACTCGAAATACTCGACAAGTATGAGTCGTAGATCTGGTTTACGTAGCTTCTAACCTGTGTTTCCCCCCGCAGATTCGAGAATCTGCCGCCTGTGATCGTCAGAGGTTTCATGGGCACCGCCGAGGAGGCTCTAAAGTACCTAGAGCGCAGGTTCTACATCAGCCTGACGGGCTACCTGTGCAAGGACAAATCGGACACTGGCGTTCGCCGACTGCTGGAGGATGGCACGCTGCCGCTGGACAGACTGCTGGTGGAGACGGATGCTCCGTTCATGTACCCGAATACAAGGGCTTCCAAGCTGCCGCAACACGTGAAAACAGGCATCACCGAACGCTCTTTGTTGTACTTACACAGGTGGGAGTGATATTATAGCTCATATTAGGACAATCTTCTAATGGTTTCGAGTACCCTTCAGATATTGTACCTTCCAACGCAACGAGCCCTGCAGTCTGCCGGCCATTGTGGAGATGATAGCCGCCTTCATGAAGAAAACCCCCGATGAGGTGGCCCTGGCCACCGCCTTTAATGCCCTGAAACTGTTTGGCCTGTCCTAGAAAACTAACACGAAGCAACATGGAACTGAACGAGAAAGTGTGCTTTACACCCGTAACTCTATAGATTCAACGAGCCTGAGATTCACGATAGACTCATACCTATGTGCCTTAACCACTAATCGAATTCAGGATGAAGCGCTCATCCTGATCCCCACACAAATACGAACCCCATTGCATGCGAAAAGTACGTATACGTATATACTACCTATATAATCAACCCCCGTGCCGTAAAGGTGCAAGCTATCGATCGAAGTTTGCAGGGTCTAGCTGTAAGTTGTTGGAATTTCCCGAGCAATTGCTTTATTTACCATTATTGAGAAACGGTGCCAAGGTGGTGCCGCGTGGAAGTCGACTCCGGATTTGCCTGGGTCGACGCTTCACGCCTCGAAGCGCGCGCTTCGTTTTAGATGTTAAGTGCTGCAGCTTGTCTTCTGTTTGTTTCTTCTGTATTTAGGCTAGAATCATTACTTTTAGTTCGTGTCTCTGTTAGCCCGTAGTCGTATTTTTGTAAATATTTATTCTTGTTGCGTCGATGACGATGAAGATGATGATGATGATGATTATGGGAAACGTAATGTGATCATTTTAAAAGCTAAATATTTATATGATATTCAACATACAAACACATTAGTTAGGCTATGAAACATATTGAATATCGTGTGCCTATACAAACTATATATTTTGTTATATTTACATATACAAAAGCGTTGAACTGAACTGATCGACCCGCGGAGGTTGCATAAAATCCGCTTTGTGCCCATTGTCCGCACACAGACACACACTATTTTCCATTTGAATAAAGCGAATTTGAAACCCAAACGAACAAAAGGCCGCTTTCATACGTCATTGCGTGTATTTTTGGTTGGTTAGCACACTTAAAAGCGCTGAATGTGGCGCAAGTCCTCGAACTGCTCCAGCCGATGCAAATTGTCCCACCACAGCTTCAGGCGGTGCTGGAGGATCAGCGAGAACCAGGGCGTCAGCGGGGCACTGAACTTGGCCACCGCCTCGTCGATCTTGTCGCGCCGCAGGAAGCGCACCTCGCTGACCTCGTTGCTGTTCGGCCGCAGGGTCACGTCCTTCTGCAGGAAGAGGATGTAGTCGATCTCGTGCTCGCCCCACACGCCGTCGCCTGTGTCCGCGTAGTGGATGCGGGTCAGGTAGCGAAAGTCCTGCGGCTGCAGCTCCTCCGTGGGAATGCCCAGTTCGTAGTTGAGGCGCCGCTGGGCGGCCAGTCGGATGCCCAGGGCACCGCTCTCCTCACGCTCCTGCTCGATCTCGTGGAGCGGATGGCTGCAGCAGGCATTGGTGTAGGTGTTCGGGAAGGTAATCTACGGATGCAGTTTGTTAGAGAGCCAGTTAAGAGACGATTTCGCTGGGATTTCACCTTGTGAGACGATCGCTTCTGCACCAGCATCTCGCCCTGCGAATTGAAGAGGAAAACACTGAAGGCGCGGTGCAGCTTCACATCCTTCGTCTCCGGGTGCACCCGGTGGCAGTCCGCCTTGGAGGCTGCCCCAGTGGCCCGGTCGTTGGCGTCCACCAGGATGCACTGCTCCTTGAGGGCCTGCGCCTGGAGGGGATCGTGCACGGCGGAGGACTCCGTGGGCTCCTGGCGCTGCTGCTGACGGCCCACCGCCGTCGTGGAGCAGCCGCGCGGCCAGGAGACGCGGGGCAGCAGGAGATTCAAGCGCGAGGCCAACATTTTTGGTAAATGACTAGTTTCGAGTGGGGCCAAAACAAATATGAAAGTGAAACTTCGTAATGCAGCGCGGCGGGGCTGCCAACTCGCTCGATTTCGCGAACAGCTGTTCCGGAACCGACGCGGCAGCCCTGGTCCTGGTGATACACAATTTGCTCATAATCAGTTTTTCGCCCCCGTCGTCGAAGTAAAATAAAATTGTAAATAGCCTAGCAGCTGCCTGAGCCAGATCTCGAAAAATGGTGAGTATTTAATGTGCTATAAGCTTAGATCCGTTAGTAAATAAATCCCTTCCCTAAGATCCGCTTCATACTCATACAAAACCGAGCTGGAAAAACTCGCCTGGCCAAGTGGTACATGAACTTCGATGACGACGAGAAACAGAAACTGATTGAGGAAGTGCACGCCGTGGTCACAGTGCGGGATGCCAAGCACACCAACTTCGTGGAGGTGGGCTAGAGTCTCTAAGTGTCCCATTGGAACCCTATATATAACCATATAACCACCATCCTCCTCCCCAGTTCCGCAACTTCAAGATCGTCTACCGACGCTATGCGGGCCTCTACTTCTGCATCTGCGTGGACGTGAACGACAACAATCTGTGCTATCTGGAGGCCATCCACAACTTCGTGGAGGTGCTGAACGAGTACTTCCATAACGTGTGCGAGCTGGACCTGGTGTTCAACTTCTACAAGGTGTACAGCGTGGTGGACGAGATGTTCCTGGCGGGCGAGATCCGGGAGACCTCGCAGACGAAGGTGCTCAAGCAGCTGCTCACGCTCAATTCGCTGGAGTAGAGGTCATGGACCGGATCCGCCAGATGCATTCCCCCAGGCGTTACACCCGCTTATCGAATCTTCTTTCATATACTATTACGCGTATTATTATTATTATCTGTAATGTGTTCTCTATGCAAACACTCAAATGTTGAAAGCCGTGTTTAGAATCAATGATGTACCATAAGAGATTGTATGCAAAAGCTATATATTCCTGCATTTTTGGGGGTGTCTCGGGGGTCACAAAAGGCGATAATATTTTTTTCTTCTCTGGTTCCGCCCACTCACCTCCGGTGGCAAGTGCGGCTGCAGCCCTGGTCGAGGGAAAGCCACCGCGCGATCTGGCAACACTGCCAATGCCACTTCGTCATTTTTTCAGTCGCCATTGTTCTCGTTCTCGGCCGTCGAATTTGTGGAAATAAACGTATTTCCCATTTAAATTCGCTGCAATAAATACAATAGCGAGCTGCAAAACACAACACGAACCGAGTGCGAGTCGTTTTCCAGTAATTCGGAGCGCGCAAGTCGAGTAAAAGCGGTCAAAACACCAGCCAGTCCAGGGCCAGAAATCGAATATTTGTTCGTGGCAAATATATAATCTTGTGAAAAAGCCAGAAAATGTCATCTGTGAATCCGGAATAGTAAGTCGTCACACGCCGTTATGCGCAGTAATTTGGGCCCAAAGTGCCCAGTGACTGGTTTTCCACGGATCGAAAAACACTTCCTCGCCCCTGGCCTTCGATAATAGTTTCTTTTATTTTTTCTGCGACGTCATTTCTGCTACGTTTCATTCCCATTCATCATCGAGCAGCCCCACTCCCTTCTTGGCGCTGCCCTCGTTGGCAACTCCAAAAAACAGACGATTCGCTAGAAACATAAAATAGTTTCGGACTTAACAACCGCCCCAAACCAGAAACCAGAATCAAAACTCTGTGTTTCAGCCGATATTTCAGTGAAAATGCATACACACAAGCTGGGGGCGATAGCATAGCTCCGTTCGCCAGCGAAAATCGCGTTAATTGTTGCTCTCCGGACTCCGATTCGGCCATATATATAGTCAGATCCCAAATCGCTGGGCGGGCGGATGAGTCACCTGCGGGGAGAGCGCTTCCCACCCCCAGCGCAATGCTACGTAATCAAAGGCCATTCCAGTTCCACATAATTGCTTTCTCTCACTTAACGAGTATTATATCTAAACCGATCTCGATTCGCACCGTCTAGAAACTCTCCTTCTATAAGTATGAGATTGTAACATTATCACATATCGCTTGAAAATTGGGGGTTGATGTTGGACATCGTGCGATAAGATAAAGCCTGTAGTAAACCGGTTTATGAATATATTACTCTCTGTAGAGACTAAACTATGCCCTCTTTCCGGGAGTTGTGTATTAAAAGTATCTCGAATCTACTTCCTCCCAAGTCTCAACTTAAATATTGAATTTTGTATCTATCTATATACCTTAATTGACTAATTATCTCCTTTTCCCCAGTGACTATCTCTTCAAACTGCTGCTCATCGGAGACTCGGGCGTTGGAAAGTCCTGTCTTCTGCTGCGATTTGCCGATGACACATATACAGAGAGCTATATCAGCACGATCGGAGTGGATTTCGTAAGCGACAAATAGAGTTGTGAAAACCCTATGTGCCTGACTCATAAAATCTTTATCTTGCAGAAAATCAGGACCATAGAACTCGACGGAAAGACCATTAAACTGCAAATTGTAAGCTTACAAAAGGGCGGAGGAGATTCACACCAGAGCTAACTTTACTCTTTACAGTGGGATACTGCTGGCCAGGAGCGCTTCCGCACCATCACGTCGTCATATTACAGGGGCGCCCATGGCATCATCGTCGTTTACGACTGCACGGACCAGGAGTCCTTCAACAATGTGAAGCAGTGGCTGGAGGAGATCGAGCGGTACGCCTGCGAGAATGTCAACAAGTTGCTGGTGGGCAACAAGAGCGACTTGACCACCAAGAAGGTCGTCGACCACACCACAGCTGCGGTGCGTAGTAAATTGCGAGGTAAATCTTAGGTACATACTGATTAGGATCTCTGTTTCCCAAAACTGCAGGAGTACGCCGCCCAGTTAGGCATTCCATTCCTTGAAACTTCGGCCAAGAGCGCCACCAACGTGGAGCAGGCCTTCATGACGATGGCGGCCGAGATCAAGAACCGCGTCGGGCCGCCGTCCAGCGCCACCGACAACGCTAGCAAAGTGAAAATCGATCAAGGACGTCCAGTGGAAAACACCAAGTCCGGTTGCTGCTGAATAACTCTGATTGTGAATCATTATTTTATTATACAATTAAACAAAATTTAAATATAATAAATTAAAACGGAAACCACACAATAATAATAAAACAGAAAACAGAAAGAAGCGAAAACGATGGCGGATCCACGAAATCGTAATTATAATAACTAATTCTGTAATAACAATAATGATGAGGAATGACGAGTAGTGCGTTTGTATGATCCTAACCGTGATCCAATTCGATAAACACTAAGCAAATATGTATTAGGTATGTAGCCAACCAGATCCAGACTTCAGACATCCCCACACACATACACACACCAAGGACTTGGATCCTGATACTAACCGTCTTTCTGATTTCAGCAGTTCTGTTCATAAGTAGTGCAAAGCAAAAGCAAGCAAATTCGGTGTAGCAACTAACTTAATATAACTCTAACCTACAGTAAGAAGTTACCTATCACAGCAGCGCGAAAACGAAAAAACGATACCGAAACCGAGAGAAACCAATATGTACTATTAACTACACATTAATTGAGCGAAGGCGACGGCAAGAGCAATTAAACTTGTACTGTGTCAGCTACTACTTACCACTATGTATACATATGTATGTGTTTAAATTACAAATACAATTTTCTAAACATATTATCTCTAGCGAACGTGCTCGTCACTTGTCTCTGTCATATTGAAATTTTATGTAAATCGAAAGGAACCCAAAACCGAACGAACATTTTTAGAATTAACATCGCGCGATTGTGTGTTTGTATTTTCGTGTGACGCAAGGGATTTGTTTAGGCACATAATTAGTGTAATAATGACGACATAGCAATGAAGTTGAATAAAAATGATTGCGTGAGAGTATATAAATTGAAAGGTTTGGGATCAAGGACACCAGTATACACTTTAGTTTCGGTTTTCACTGTCGCCCGAATTTGAATCTTAATTTTGCTTAAGTCTAATAAAATCAATCTGTACCAATGCCTATAAACAATTTGTTTTATTTCGCTTTTTTGGACAGATTCCAAAGACTTGAGTGAAGGCCGGAACGAATCCGCACATACAGCTGTGAAAAAAATAATAGCACCACTAACCCAAAAAAACTTTAACTAGTCACCCTACTCACATTTTTTAACTTTTTTAACTTTTCAAAACGGGTTTCAAATAGTATGACTAAACATAATTTGAATATGAAAAAAAATGTTAGCTTTATAAAAGGTTTCTGGACTTATTTAAGAAAATCTATGCAAAACTGGAAAAACGTACGAAAAAAATAATAGCACCACTTCTCTAAAAATAGAATAAAAGGTAGAAAAATGACAAATGGGTAACTTAATCTTAAGTTGGCGGTAGCTAACAAGTAAATCTAAGTTTAAAGTGTAAATCTTTTGCGATTTTTGGATATAATGACTTACTATCGATTAAACAAGTCAGGACCCTACCTATAAAGGAATTGGGGCCCAAAAGTCATGATATATTTTCAAATTTTGTTCGGAAATGATTTAAGACGTTTTAGATTAACTGTATAAACTGTCTTAAAAAAAAAAACTCGAATATTTTTGGTTGTGTTATGGTCAAGCGAGTACACAAGTCAATGTATATTGCTTACTGAGTACTTTCGAACACTTTCTTTGCTATCCTGACCGTGATCCTGGCCGGATTTTATTGGTCAAAGATTCATTTAAGAAGTATTTTGTATTCAGTTTAAGCTACGAATTACTACCGTATTACTATTTACATCATAGGATGATTCATGAACGATGTATTCATCCGTATTGATCTTACTTCAAGAAGGAAAAACAAGCCTATGTTAATACTAGGTCCATGCTCAATAAATGGATGTTTTGGTACCGTGTTTTTGGTCAATTTAGGTGTTTAGAAGACACATGACTTATAAAATGGATTTCTTCTTACCCAATTTAACTTTGCCTTCACACATTCTGATAAGTTTTGCGGGCATTCATTTGTAACTTTTTATGACGAGCCCTATGCCCTTGTAAATGTGTTTCGCATTTCGGATAGGATTTTTTTTTAAGTGCATGTTTTATAAATTTGTTTATTGAAACATTATCCAATTATTAAAATATTCGCTATTATTTTAAGCACGTGTTTTAGTTTTGTTTTGGCCCTGATAAGATTCTTTGTGCTTTGTAATATCAAATAAAAACACCTCTAAACGAGGTAAAAAACTAGTGACGATCGCACCTTCAACGTACAAAAGTTCTGATATCAACTTTTGTGACGAAAAATGATTTTAGATGCGACTAAATAAGTGCGTTACCTAAAATTTATTCATTCGGCACGCTACAACAAAAAACTTTCGTGTAGATATTAAATATTTGCTAAAGCGGGCCGAATGAATACATTTTAGGTCACGTACTTATTTAGTCGCATCTAAAATCATTTTTCGTCACAAAAGTTGATATCAGAACTTTTGTACGTTGAAGGTGCGATCGTCACTAGTTTTTTACCTCGTTTAGAGGTGTTTTTATTTGATATCAGAAGTTTTTGTTTGTTTACTTTTGCTCTCATAGGTGCTAATGTAAACATTTAAATTTAAATTGGTCAATCATAATTTTTAAACAATTGTATTTTAACGAATTAAGTTAAAAAGGCGTTGAAGTATTTCAAAATACCTTTTAAACGAGGTATAGCACATGTCTGTACCTTTAATAGTGTAGAACTTAAAAACTAACGAAATTTAGCCATTTTTAGCTTTTTTCCCGCTAAAGTAGCGGCTTTTTCCAAAAGTCGTAGAACAAAAGATTCCTATATGGAACTCTTAAGTGCAAATTTACTGATTCCATGACCCTAAAATACAGTTCGGATACCCTCCCACAAAATTCAATACTCAGGGAGCGTTAATTGTTCGAGCTGGCAAAAGTGTCTATTTTCGTATAAAAATAACTTTTAAACGTGACTTTTTACAGTAATGTGTTATATACCAAAATTTAAGGAATCTCAAGGGCTATACAGTTTAAAGTTGTAAGAAAAATCGTTAGAGCCGTTTTTGAGAAAATTAAAAAAAAGCTAAAAAAAAAGTTTAAACAAATTTTCTTTTGTTCATATCTTTTTAACTAATTCATTTACACAAATTGCATTTACAAGGCGTTTATAGCATTTATAAATACCTTTCAAACGAGATGCAGCACAAGTCTGTAGCTTTAGTAGTATAGAAGTTACGGCTTTCCGAATTTTAGCTATTTATAGCTGTTTTCCCGCTAAACTAGCGGGGTTTTCCAAAAGTGGTAGAACAAAAGTTTTTTATATCGATGTGATGAACGTCATATCAAATTTTCAGAACTTAAAAAACATATTTTGGACAAGTGGACAAGTGGACAAGTGGACAAGTGGACAAGTGGACAAGTGGACAAGTGGACAAGTGGACAAACTGACAAACAGAATTAAAATTTCATTTTGGGAAGAAGAAGAAAATCTTATTTTGGCTATAACTTTTGAACGGAGCGTCGGATTTCGACAAATGACCCCTCATTCGACGGGTATTTTCAAAAGGAATACAACTAAAACATTGCGAGGGGGCATTTATCCCCACCGGCCCCAACAGCTCCAAATTTCGAAATTTTCACTTTTTCACTTTCACCGCTCTCTCCCCCAAGCCAATTGATTTTCTTAAAGTCTTGGTATGCAATCCTTTAAGTTTTTGCAATACCTTTCGATTGGTGTATTACTCATTACGATCGGACTATCACAGCAGATTTTCAATTTTGCGGCTATATAATAGTAGTCGCCTTCGCACACTCTCCTGGTGCGCTTCGTCACTACATGGACTGCCGTCCATAGTGATAACATTTTGGAAGGAAAAATGGGCCAGGACTCGGTTTTTCTGTGTTATCCTTCAAAGTTTATGACATTCTTAATGAAGATGATCCAAAACCTAACCAATCGAACCGGTTTTCATGACCGTTTTCCATCCAATATGTTTCTTTTTTGAATATTTTTCTTTTCCGACTGGGAAAATTTTCCACATGTCGTTGTATTGCCAAATGGTAATCAATTTGATGTCTGGATATCAGGAGAAGTTAGTTTTAGTCAAATCTCATAAAATATATCCTTTATACACAAGAATATTAGCGCATCGTAACGTTTTATTTAAAGAAAACGGAAGTGGTGCTATTATTTTTTTCGGCCTTTTTTTGACTTTTTTTCTTAAAATCTGAAAAAATTATATGTAGACAATATTTTCGATACCCGTATCAATTTTTTCAAATAGGTGGAATACTAATCAAGATAATAAAAAACACTTCTTATATAAAAATCCCAGTTTTTCACATATTTCTTTAATATTAAGAACCTGTGACGAAGTGGTGCTATTATTTTTTTCGCAACTGTATCTAGATACTCTTGACAGAAGTTTGCTTTAAAGCAGCGGTCGGCAGCGCCCTATTAAGTGAGCATAGGGTTTTGTTCTGCCGGCGCGTCGCTCGCACATGTATAACGTAGAACAGCCCAGCGGGAATGTGAGAAGTTGGTTTTTGTGTTCTTGAAATCCTGTTCCTTTTTGCAGTCGGCGGTGTGGGGTTAGATAATTTCTGAGCGTTAAATGGGTGGGTTTCTGAGAAGCATCAATATCAGGCCACTTATGCGCTGTGTGATTTCTGTGGCACTACGATTATAATATTTTTTTACAAAAAAATCTTATAATATTCAAAAATCCTATGATTTACACCAAAACCAAAAGACTTGTTCTCACATTTAGTTTTAATTTTTAGTAATTTTAAAAGTCGTAGAAAAAATATTAATAATTGTTAATCAAAAAAATTAAACTATATAACATTATTATCATAATGTCTATAATGATAATATTAATTTATGTTACTCAACATTTTTCAAATAATAATAAGGATGAATGTGGGATTCAACCAAATTATATAGAAAAACCACGGTAAGACGATTAAAATATTTGATCACATTTATCAAGGAATTACATTAAATTACAAAGAAAACTATTGTTGTTTTTTACATTTTTAAACATTTTCTGTGAAATAAAATAATTTGATCGTCAGATCGTGGCCTAAGCCATTTTCAAGTGTTGTTAAAATATAAAAATTCGTGTTGGTGGTATTGATAACACGAAAAATGCCTAATATACCTATAATATACGTAACCTTTAATGATTACGGTCCCTGAAAAGTATTGTTTAAATATTTATTCGGCGCCAAAGTGTGACCCAACTTTACAACGAAATTTATACCACATTTATCTGCATTTTGTATGGTATTATCAAGAATATAATGCAGGGTCACATCATTTTTAAATAGTTAATTTTAATCTAAAAAACAATAAAAAGGTGAGTGATAAAATGAATTTTGTCTTTTTATAACCTTTATTCCAGCGTTACAAAGGTTAGTATCACAGATATTTTCGCCATTAATAAATATACGCCTCCGGATGCTATCTTCAACACAAATTCTGCATTTCAGTGACACTTGAAATGTTTTTAATCTTTACCAGTGGTAAATGGTGTGAGGTGTTCATTAAATGGTTGTATAAATAGTACTTCAGTACTAACTTAGTTGTTTAACTTAATCAAAATATTACATTTATTTCAGCCAGGCCGACTGAGACTTCTTGGGACCAGAAGTGTTGCGCCTGCGTTTGTCATATTTTATTTTTTCTTCTCATAGTTTTTGATATAGATACCCGAAATAAAACAACTGAACAGAGGGTAAATGATCGGCCATGGCAAACCAGGCATAATTTCTGGAGAGATCCTTTAATTTTGTGCGGAGACCTAATAATGGCAATTACTCTTATTATTATTCCTGGTCTTACATTCATATATAAATTATGTTTGATATTTTCAGAAGACAGACAAGAAATGGATATCTAAGTACTGCATTCGGCCAAGCAAAACCCGGGAATGCTTCAGGCATTAAAAATTTGTAGTTCCAATGCTTCGATTGTAAATATTATTAATAAATACACAAACAAATATTACAAAAAACATGATTTTTATTGTGGAAAATCAGATACTGCAAAGCAGTGCAAAACCAAAACTGCGAGGGTCTGGAAAAACCAAAACTGGGAGGGTGTAGAAAAACAGATATTGCAAGTGGAGGAAAACCATAACTGGGTACGTGTGGAAAATCTATAATGCGGGAAGTCGAAAAACCAGTGGATTTTGTCCTGCATTCTTCTGCCAGAGATCCAGATAGAAACCTCATTTCCCCCTTACTTTTTGTGTCACCCCCGTGTATTTTGAAACCAGAGATGGAAGAAATGTAAGGGGTGAATGAGGTTTAGTCCCTTCCGCTTCTATGGAGAAACCTCTTGAAAATATGTTATTTTCCAGAGGAATTTTCCCGGTGGGAGCGGTCTGCACACACACATCGATGAGCTGCCCAGTGAAAATTACTCACACAAATATAAAACAAAATGTCAACGTATGTGTGTGCCGACCGCTGCTTTAAAGAAATAGCATTCTCAAATGTAACAAATTTTAATAATTTAAAAATTTTAATAATTTAATTTAATTTAAAATGAAATGAAAAATAAGTTCATAGGAACAAAAAATAATAATTATCTTTGACATAAATCCTCAATTATTATTATTGTATTTACCTTGCCTTTTGTACAGCCTTCATATAACATATAACGAGCTCCCCTTTATTGGTTTCAAAAACATCTTCTCTAGCGTTTATTGACTTCTTCTGAGGTACTTCAGTCTTTACAACAAAATTTCTTCTAAAACTATGACTATTTGCTGTTGGAATTCAACTAAATACTTGAACGGTTGCTGGCAGTGGGGGATTCGAGGGATTTGGAGGAGGTTTTAAATTTTGCTAGCTCGTCGTTCCTGCAGGCAGGCGGTGGTAACGGTGGCAGCTGTTGTCCCAATGATGGCGGCTCCCAGGATACCCCGTTCCCGTTCGCTCAATCCGGAAACGGACAGGCTATTGCTGCGCCAAGCGGAAGAGGAGGTGGTGCGATCCGTGCCCGAGGAGGTGGATATGGAGTTGATCAGGAAGGTGGCCTCGCGGCGGAGAGTGCGTCGTGGATGTCGGGCTGTCGTAGTGGATCCCGCCAGCGTGGCCCCCTCCTCGGCATCCTGTTCCTGTCGCCTGGACGTGTTGCGTCCACTTCCTCCCGCCGCTGGATGTTGCCTCTGATGGTAGTGATGGCGATGATGGTGATGCTGTCGCTGACCCAAACAGGTGAGCAGCAGGCGCCAGAAGCCGCTGCGGAACTTGGAGGACATCAGGTTGTACAGGATGGGGTTCATGGCCGAGTTGAGGTAGAGCATGAAGCGCGAGAAGTACAGCAGATTGTAGTAGCCGGCGATGCCCAGGCTCTGCACATCCTCGGCGCTGGCCAGGATCACCCAGAGGGTGAAGGCGCGGAAGGGCAGCAGGCAGACGAAGAAGCTGGACACGACGGCCACCAGCATGAAGATCACCTGCTTCCGGTGCTTCCGCATCCCGTTGCTCTGCTGGTGGCTGTTGCCCTTGGTGCTGGGCACCTGGGTTGCTCCACCAGTTGCTCCACCCGTCGGCTGCTGGGGCTGCGGGGAGGTGGGTCGATGGAAGGCGTTGTTCGGGCGCAACAACTTGTAGGCGATGGCTGCATACAAGAGGAGCAGGATGCCGAAGGGCAGGAAGAAGAACACCGTGATGCTGCCCACAAAGTAGAAGATCGGCCAGAAGCCATCGGCGGCGGTGGTGCAAACGGGGGCGTCGGTTCCATCCCCGTAGGGCTCCACACTGTAGCTGGATATGGCGATGATGGGACTGCAAGAATCATATTTCTCATATTAGTTCCAGTCGAGGGAGTAGCAATGTTAGCTGGTGTCGTCTGCAAACTTTTTAACGCGCTGCGGGCAGGAAACAAACAAATATTTAAAAGCTACTCAACGGCTATCTACTGGAAAAGTTTCGGGGGCGAAGCACTCAACTTAATCACACAGCGGAAACGGAAACGGCAACGTCTGCTCATACTCATCAAACTCGCAGGATGGCGGGATTCTACTACTACTTTACCATACTTTACAAAACGAATGAAACGATATCTACGTCATAGGGCTACGAAAACAAATTATAAAGCCATGTATTTACAGAGGACGGGCATTAGTCCGATTTCCTTGGAATTATATAAATTACACTGCTGCCGGCGGAATGATTAGAGATTCCGGTGGAATGGGGGGTGATGTTGAAAAAAGCCGATTCCTTTGACCCGTCATGAGTTGTCATAAAAAATTTATTTACTTACAAACTCTTTGCTCCTTTTGTGTGAGTGTGCGGATGTGTGTTTGCTTGTATTTATAAGCAGAGTATATGTATATATAAATATGTTTGTATAAATATAAATATTAATATAGGTATGGCTATGTGTGTGTGGCGTATGTACAACTGTGTTTACATGTGAACATTGTGTGCATATTGAGCTAAGCTTTTTCTTTGAGCCGCCGCCAAGTAGGCAACAGTTTTTTCGGACATCCGGTGATGGCCGCCCCTGTAATGGCGGCCATTTTATCCGGTTTACTTTGTCCGGCTTACGGAAACTATTTCAATACACCTAAATCATGTTTATCCGCCGCCCTGATGGGCTGCCCAAACGCATATTAAGCCATTTTCGTTTCCATTTCCCAGTCCTCCTCGAACGCCCGCCGCTTAATGGCTCACCCAATGCCCAAAACCCAAAACCCAATCCATCCATATCCATATCTCGACTGGAAACTCTGACCATTGGTGGTAGTTCTTGTAGTTTGGCTGCCGTTGCTGTTATTTATCTTTGGCACATTCATTCGAGTTTAATAGCCCGAAAAATTGATTGTTTTTCGTACGGAAATGTCCAAGGCGGCGAAAGTTCGATTTGGTGTATTTGGGATTCTCGGGAGCTGTCAACGGCTGACTGAAATCGATTATGCCTGCCAAAAAGCGTTCAGGATGGGATTTGTGCGTGTTGCCAGGCATCGGGGGATCAGCATCATCGACACATTCGCATTCTAGTGAAGTGAAGCGAGCGTGTAAACGGGTTACAGGCGATTTTTCACGCCCATCCCGCCTAGGGGGGATTTTCCTGGACCGCCTCTTCGGGGAGATTTTCTATGCCTCCATTTCCAGGGAGATTTTCCCGACCTTTCATCGGGATTTTCGGATCCCTTTCTTCCAACGCCTCCTCATCGAAACTTATTTGCGGCTTGTGGCGCCGCGGTTGCGGGTTTCTCAGAGCCAGAAGTCGGCTATCGCTCACTCTCCTGGCCATTCCCCTGCCCAAGGTGGAGTGCTGCAGCATGGCCATGGCCTCCAGATCACTGCCACACGGCATCTGCATCTCGATCTTCAGTCGGGTGCGACTGATGTCCTCGCTGCACCGGCGATTGGAACTTCGGGACAGGATGCTGGAGTTCGTGGCTGCCGTGGCATTCGAGGAGTTGGTATTCGTGTTCGTATTGGTGCCCATGCCCAGTGACAAAGTGCCACTGCGACCCCTTGAGGAGTTCTCCTTGCGCCTGCCCAGGGTAACCAAATCGAGCAGCAATCTCCCTGCATCCTGTACCAGCCGCTTGAAACCCCTGCGAAACTTGGTCGACATCAGGTTGTAGAGAATCGGATTCATGGCCGAGTTGAGGTACAGCATTATGCGGCAGAAGTATAGCAAACTGTAGTAGCGCACCAGTCCCAGATCATGCAGCGTTTGGTCCGTGCTGAGGATGATCCACAGGGTGAGCACCCTGAAGGGCAGCAGGCAGACGAAGAAGGACAGCACCACGGCGCCCAGCATCAGGACCACCTGCTTGCGGGCCTTCAGACTGAGCTCCGGCTTCGTGGGACGGGCACGCAGCATGGCCGCCCGGTTGGAGACCAGACTCCTGGCGATGATGCCGTACAGCACCACCAGGGTCACGAACGGCACCACGAAGAACACCGAGATGGTCATCAGGAAGAAGGCCAGCGTCCAGTCGGTGATGGCCTGGGTCAGGCACACGGCCACCGACGATCCATCAATGTACTCGGCCAGCTTGTACTCGGCCACCCACAGGATGGGGCTGCTCGGGGCGGGAGGAGTCGCAGTTGAGGGGAGAGAAAGCAAACAAGAAACGTAATCAGGTGGCGGGGTCACCGGGGGAGTGGATAATGGATAATGGATGCGGGTGGAAGTCGGGGAAAATGCCCAGAGTGGCGGAAAGGAAGAGAGGGTGGAGAGCGGGATAGACAGTAGTTGATGATGGTAGACCAATGGCGATGAGCAAAAGGTTAACCGATTCTGGGATGAACTTCAACTCTCTAATGAAGCCGTCTGGTTAAAAGCCGATTTTCTTGACCTGATTGCTTTTATGTGTTTTTTATTTCTTCGGGTCAGCCGAGTGAATTTAACTCTTGGCGGAGATTATGATCTTTACCTGCCAATTTCAATGTTTCCGTAGTTGATTTAGAAAGACAAATAGAATACTTACAATGAGTAAAATAATTGAGTAATTGACACTTAAGTGAAAGTGGAATTTGTATTCAGATAATCATATTTAAAAAAAAATCCAATAAAATTAAAAAGTAAATTTTCTAAGAATTATTATTAGATCCCATTATAATTTTTATGAATACAATTTAAAAACATTGGAAAACTACCATAATACACATGAAAATAAATCTTAAAATTTGCATTATCAATGGAATTACATTTTACTTACATGAAGATTAATGGGTAGATGGTAGAATATATCATATACTTCATAAACCATTCGCTTTCATTTGACTCTGTGAATATTTCCAGCCAAACAAACAAGTTTAAATGTTCGTTTATTTGGAGTAACCCGAAACGCAGATTAAACAGTTCCCCGGCTGCCCAAAATCCTCCCCGGCTAGACCGAAAGATATGACAGTCAACAGGCGGTGGCTGTTTTATTTTTTTCTGACGATGATCCGGGCGTTTTGGACGTGCGTCAGCAATTGGCCCCACCCCCCTTTATTTTCTCCTACAGCTGCGCCCATGGGCGTCGTGTGGCGCGTCGGTTTGAATGTGTTTTAAAATGTTTGTCGGCCTTCGGCATCTTGTGTAGCGTAATTAATGGGTCTCGGCCTGGAGGCGGGTGTCCTGTGGACCCGATGACCCCACCACCAGCACTGCTGGACCTCTGAACTCTCCCACTGAGGGGTCAGTGGCCGGCTCGACAATGTGCTGTTTATTTCATTGTTATGGACGCGGCAAGATTTGCAAAATTAAAAAGGGTCGCCGGTCGTCCTTGGACGAGAAGCGAACAATAATAAAGTGTCAATGAAATGAAATCCATGATAGCGGACATCGGTGCTTATTAAAGATGACAGGCCGCTGATAACGGAGGCTCCAACTTGGACAAAAGACGACCGGAACTTGAGGCCAAGGATGTCAATGGGAATGATGATGATGTGAGGGCAGGAGTAGAAGTAGCAGGAAAGGAAATAGAATAGATAGGGATAGAGGGACAGAGCGGCAACAGTCGCCGTTTAGCATGTAAATGGACACGCCGATGGCTCACAAAAGGCCAAACACCAAGACCAGAAATTCCACAATATAATGGAAAATAAACAAAACGGAAAAAATGTGCAAAACCCAGAAACAAAACACAAATCATTAAAATGACGGCGATTGACACTTGTAATTAATGAGCGAGCAACTGAATGCTTGACTGGGCGAAATGAATGAAAATGGAAATAGGCCATAAACTAGATCTAACCGGGATAATACTATAGGATAATAATATATATATGTACCAACACCAGAAAGCATGCAATAAAGCCAACGAACTAAGTACGATTTCCGAAATAATAACGCTAATGTCTAATTAAATTTAAGAAGAAATAGGAGCTGAAAGTGGTGGGTTCGGTGCACTGTCTCCAGATGGAACCGAACCAAACCAAACCGAACCGCTTACCTCGTAAAGAGCGCAGCAATGCCCCAGGCCAGAACGCAGATGAGGATGGCCCGTCCTTTGGTGCAAACGTAGCCGGCCTTTAATGGCTCGCAGATTGCGTAATAGCGCTCGAACGAGATGGCCAAGATGGTCAGAACGCTGGCATGGGCCACAGTCAGCTCCACGAACGGCACAGCCTTGCCTGGAGTAAAGCAGTTAATTAGGTTGGGGAAAATAAACAGAACAGTAGCTGAGGAGTGATGGAGCAATGGAGTTTTAGAGCCACTCACACATCTCGTGCCCGAGGACCCAGGTCTCTGGGCGGGTGTTGACCTCGACGAGAACGGTGGGCGTGCAGACGAGCAGCACCAGCAGGTCGGCGATGCTCAGGTTGGTGAGAAAGATGTTCGTCGAGTTGCGCATATCCTTCGTCTTCACAATCACGATGGGCACCTGCGTTGGATTTAAGGTGGTTTAAGGTGATTTGGCAAATATGACAGGTCTTAACATATAAATGGTGTTACCACCTGATGCTATTCTTTTAAAGATTTGAATTAAAAATTGCTCATGAAAAACAGTTCAAACTAAATCTGAAATCTAACATTATTATGTAAGGTATTTATCTTATTTCGCTTTAGTAATCTAATCTAATTGTAAAATATTTTTCTTTTAAAGATGCTATTCTTTTAAAAATTTATAGTAGAAATTGTTCATAAAAAACAAGCAAATTAAATCGGAAATCTAACATAATTATTTAAAGTATTTATCTTATTTCGCTTTAGTAAAACAGAATTTCTTATACATATCTTTTAAATTAGAATTGTGAAATTTGGAATTTTATTAATGGATTTTTCGCATAATAAAAACTTGGCTTGACATTAAAAGGGTGAATCCCCCTGTGTGCCCTTGAGGCAATTTCCAAACGAATTAATTTCAATTATAAATGCCTTCGCCTATAATTCTTTATAGAGAAGAAGGGGAGGACTCACCATCACATTGCCCACCACGCCCAGCAGCATGATGACTATGCAGAAGAACATGGCGGTTGTGCGGATATACGACGGAATCTGTGGCAACATCTGCTCAGCATCGTCCTTGGAAGTGGCTGTTGTTGCTGTGGCTTCTGCATCAGCTGCTGCTGCTGCTGCTGCGGTGGAGTTGTCCTGGCGGTCAAGTCCTGCGGCTGGAATACGATGAGTTGCGTGGTGTGGGCCATGGCCGCCACTAGCAGCGCCACGGGATAGCCCATCCTGCTGCGACGACGTGGTTGTGGTTCCTGGGCGAACGGGAACGGGAACGGGGACTGCATCTTGGGCCTGCGGCAGGACGGCAGGCAGGAGCAGAAGCAGGAGCAGGAGCCGGAGCCACTGGCAGATCCTCGGGCCTACGCCGATGCTGGTCAGCCGGGGTGCTAGCTGCCCAATCCTGGCCACAGCGACGCCGTGGCTGGCCCTCAGCAATGTCGGTGTCCTCGTCGTCGTCCTGCGGCACTCGGAGTGTAGGTCTCGCAATGGCAATCACAGGGACAGCCGCAGCATCATGGGAACTCGAAGGATTCGGGGATGGAGTGCCGCCACCGCCCGCTGTTCAATTAAGTGCCTTACGAGGCGCTGTCGTCCGGCCCAAATCCGTTGTAATTGCCCGCCCGGCAAGTTTATGCTCTCACTTAAATACGCGCTAATGAAATTAAGTTGTCCCAGGGCTTCTCGGATACTCTTCTGTAGTCTTCTATCCAGATCCGCATTAAACAAATCAATCAGTGGGGCTTTGCGGTTGTCGTCCGCGGCCTCAAGTGGCTGAAACGGCAATGGGATTAGCATTTAAGTGTCCTGCCCAGGATCAGGAAATAACCGGCCATTGACCAGGCCGGCTAACTAACGATAATGAATGAAAAGTTCATTAGGCGCTGTCATTTACATAACATTAGAGCATCCGGCCCTTAGGAGAAGACACCCACTTCCTCTTCTCTCCTTTCCGCCATAAACAAGCTCATCATCCGCCCTCGGGACTCTTGACCAAATAGCACTGGACCGAAACCAAGGGAACAGGGACATGGGCAGGGATTTTAACTGTCAGCAGGGTTCTTCTAGAACCCCCCTTTCCCTAGCTTAGTTTAAATTAAAAGAGTACCTATGAAGTGACCAGTGTAATTGTCTTTCAAAATTCAATAATTAAAATTTTAAGTACAATACAAAACATTTCCATCCTTAATTAAAAAAAAATAAAGTTGGCAAAAACACCCGAATTTTTGACAAAAGTTTTAATAATATCATTAAATTAAAAAAAATTATTAATACATTACGGATTCTTAGTCTTTTAAAGTAACAGAAAGACTTATAATTGATTATGAAATATTTTCAAGGCTTTTATCATTTTATTGTGATGATTTTTAGGTAAAGTATTCCCATTTAAGTTCAGAGCATTCTTGCTCTAATCGCAATAACCATATTTTAATACATAGTTCAACACTAACTACTTTTTATTTGATCCCCAATCGCCGCTCCTGACTGGGATGTTTGCTTCCAATCTCGGGTGACAGGGTCGCCCGGCAGACGGCGATTATCGCCAATGGCGTCTGCTGCCCATCTCCACGCCATCTCCATCCTCATCAGCCGCATGAGGATGGCTGTTGTCAGCCAAATGGCTTTATTAAATCCCCATCTTTGCGGCGCGCAACTCGCTTAATTATATTATGCTCATACGGGGCCACGCACACACATCCCAGGATGTGGCCAGGACACTTGGACACAGGACTCGTGTATAAACACAAGCTTCCGGTGTTTGTTTGCTATCGAGTGGGTGGGTTGGGTTAAATGGGATGGGGCAGCGCCATTTTGATTAATTTGATAAATTCATTATGCGCACACCATATTGGCCAGTTCCTGGGGTTTGTTCCTGTCCGGATGCCGTTGACTGCGAGTCTGGATCTTGTCCTTTTTTCCCTGTGCCAAGCTGTGCACTCTGTTTGTTGTGGCCCAGGACTCGAAAAGGGAACGGGTTCTGGGGTTCAATGTCCCCAAATGACATAACAAGGCAGTTTGTGTCACATTTGGCTTAAAAATGCGACTTTAACGATGCTAAGCGAAGGATTAACCCAGGACTCGACTCTCTATTGGCCATTTTGCTGGGCGTAATTGTTTCGAAAGTTTCGAGTTGGTCATGTAGAAAGACAAATGAATCGTTTCCAACTTTTGGCCGAGAGCTGTGGCCATCATGGCCATCAATATGGCCCACTCGGTGGGACAACAGGAAAAAGCCAGCAACCCACAATAAATAGGTATGTATATAGGAGTATATCTGGCCCAACAACTGCCGCCACAAACATGCGAGGCCTGCATGTAAATCTGAAAACGGTTTATGGTTTCGGCCGAAATCCCAAGTTCTCGAGTGCCGAGCGGCCATTTGATGGATAACTTGTGGCCTGTCTGTGGGCGTGTGCAAAAATACAGAAGTTACAAACTCACACGGAGGAAAACAACGAACGTTTTGAATATGATTCTATCAGGTGTGCCTAAAAATATTCAAATAAATTTTTTATCTGGTGCAAATATGCAAATTTGAAAGAGGAAATATATACCTATGGTTTTTTAAGAACTAATCTTAGTGATTTATGGAACACTACTTTCAGAGATATTTTATTAGAAATTTACTTTAATTAAAGCAACAACTTGTTTTAGGAATCGGTACTTTTACTTTGCTTAGTTCGACTGCTGGATGTTCGAATATTAAGGATTGAATAATAACTATTTGAGTGGTTTCCAAAGGACCTTTAATGTTAAGCTGATATATTGGCATTTCTTTCAGTGCACACCATTTTCGTATAATTTTTTGGCTGAGATTTGAATAAGGTTGAGAGCGGCTGGCGATAATGGAAATTGAGCGTATTGGCCTGCATCCAGGAGGTGTGAGTGTGGGTACGAGTGTGTGCGGGGTGCCGAGTGGATTTGCTTGTACGCCCAAGGACTCGCATGTGACACAGTGTAGCGCTTTTTATGGTATTTAAGATTGAACGGAATTTATTGCCGACACCCTAATAAAATTAACATTGAAATGGCAATTTGAGGCGGCAATAAGAATCAGCAGCAGAAGTATGTATGTGGCCCTAGCATCAATGGCAGTATCAAAATCGTTGGCGGGAAAGTCTGAGGAGTTGTCACACCCCCAAAACACACGCATATCTAATCAATTTATCGTTCAATAATAGTCAAGCCAGTGGATATATGGGATGGTTATGGCCCGATGTGCCTTAGCAGCCACTTTGACAAATCGCCGAGCGTGAAAGAGGCGAACGAGTGGCGAAAAAATTAAAGCCCAGCCGTCAAAGTGATTTCGAACTTTGTGGCAGACCTTCTCAGAATCCCGAGGAATGCGGTCTAAAACACATTTATTTCGCCCCCCAAAGCAACCGCAACTAATTTTCTTTTTTTCGCCGAGGGTGTCGCACGCTAAATAAATTGAAATGACTTCGTAATTGTATTTGTGACTCTGGCCAAATTAATCTAACTAGTTCGCATGCCGGATCAGCGCCCGTGTGGAACCAATGGTGCTCCAATGGAGGAGCCGGAGGAAAAACAACAGCAGCCAAGAGAAAAGCGAACAAAGCGCCGTAAAACCAAAAGCTTGTTTTTCAATTGAACCAAACCCACCCAAACCTAAACGCAAAGTAGCCAAAGTGGATGTTTTTGGCCAAGAAGGTCGGTGGGGTGGCAAATTGCTTTCGCTTTCGTTTCTCTGTGGAAACCCTCGAAACCGAAATTGACATGTCGATGGTCATGTCCCACAGTCATGTCCCTTTAATTGACCATTGAATGGCAATTAAGGCAGAAGCTATTTTTGGGTTAGCGCTAGTTCGAGTGCATTAGCATTGGCTACCCTCCCTTCCCCCGAATTAGCCACATTAGTGAGGGTTAGAGCTTCGGGAATATGTTAGGGTTATTGTGGGGTTGGACAAAACACACATAATTATACACAAGCCAAAATTATACAGTACAAAGTCTTTTCAAAATAATAAAATCTTGAAGTCAGCGTTTGAAATCAATTATTTGACTTCTTATTTGAAATTTATATTTAAAATATAAAATCCATTAAAATTCTTAATTATTATAATTAAATTTCTTAATTATCTTGGAATATTTTTACTAAGCTTTGTGATCTTTTCACCCAGCAAATAGATGCAGAAACAGCTTGGGGAGTCAAGAATTTAAATAGAAAGGGCTAAAGGAAGGGGTGTGCTATTTCCAATTACTGTTTCATGCCACGGATTCCACGAAAGAACAGTTCCTTTCCTAGTTTTCAGCCGCCGTTTGGCTTCAATAATTCTCTTTGGCTTTGCTGCAAGGAGTCAAGGATGTTAGCTCAGCTATCCAGCTTTAACTCCTTTGTCCGTCCTGTCCGATTTCACTTATTTATGCGACTGCGACGAGCAACTCGACTTTTGCCCCCCCACCACTGTTTGCCTCTAACTGTAACTGCCACCGTTTGTCTGTCTGCTTGACAGTCGGTTTGTTTGTTTGTTTGCCCGCAATAAGAAAAGGCAACGGTCGCGGGCTAAACGTTCAAACAATGGCCAGAGAACTGGGCTCACAGCAATGGGCCAAGAAAGTAGTACAGGTCATGGGTAAATAATATTTAGAAAAAAACCCCTTTGGGCGAGGTAATAAACAAGTGACGATCGCACCTTTTTTAACCATAATTGTGATATCGTTTGAGTAAATAGCTTAGCCGCTTTAGCTCCTTTTTTTATAAATTACTTTTTTATAAAAAGAAAGTATTTATAAATTGTTGAGCACAACTGTAAGTAAATGTAAGTATAAATATACACAATTGCGTATGGTTTGGTCGTTCAACTAATGTTTTTCTAAAGAATTCTTCATCTGGCGGGAGAATGTGCCCGCTGTTTTGAACCCGCTCAAGTTGCTCATACGCCCTGTCAGCCGGGCTCCAGACACCCTCTCCTTCTCCTTCTCGTCTGCGGAATGTAACTTTATATTCCTCCTCGGCGCTTGTTGCTGTAAGAGTTTAGCAGAGCCCCGGCATTGATAAGCCATTGGCCCGGGAAGGCGTTTTATCGCCGGACCCCGATTGGAGCGGTGAAAGATGCGACTGCCCTCGGACTTTGCC